TGACCGGGGTTAGCTTTTATGTATCGCAAAATACGTAAGACAGCTTCATATTGAGCTTCGGTGGGATTCTGCATGAATTGCGATAAAACATGGACGGAGTAGCTTAACTCGGGTCTGGTAATAGTCAGATAAACTAGACGTCCTATGAGCCTTCTGTACCGTGCTGGATCCGAGAAAGTGGGACTTTCTGTAATAGCAAGTTTATGATTTGTTTCAAGAGGAAAGTCACAAGGTTTGCATGCAAGGAGGCCAGCATCTTCCAATATGTCGAGAGCATATTTTCGTTGGCTTAGAAAGAGACCAGAAGAACTGTGAGCCATTTCTATTCCAAGAAAATATTTTAAAATCCCCAAATCTTTGATATGGAAGCATGAGTGGAGGAAAGTTTTGACAGCATTGCATGTGGTTGCATCATCCCCAGTTAAGATAATATCATCAACATAGATGAGAAGAGCGATGAAGTGACCATTCTTGTGTAAGGTGAATAGAGTATAATCAGCCTTAGATTGAGTAAAACCGTAGGACTCAAGAGATGACCGCAACTTAGCAAACCAATTTCTGGGGGACTGTCGCAATCCATAGAGTGATTTATATAAGCGGCATACTTGATGGGGTTTGTGATGCTGGAAGCCTTGAGGAACTCGCATATAAACTTCCTCTTTAAGATCTCCGTGTAAGAAGGCGTTTGTAACATCTAACTGGTATAATTTCCACTTCTTGGCAACTGCTACTGCCAGAAGTGTCCTCACACTAACCATCTTTGCTACAGGAGCATATGTGTCAAAGTAATCTTCGCCAGGTATTTGATTATTACCAGCAATTACCAGCCGTGCTTTGAATCGCTCCACAGTACCATCTGAATTGTATTTGATGCGGTAGACCCACTTACAAGGGATTGCACGTTTACCAGGTGGCAAAGAAGTAAGCTCCCATGTTTTGTTTTGCTCAAGTGCATCAATTTCCTTTCGCATTGCTAAACGCCATCGTTCATCTGTGACAGCTTCTTTGAATGATTTAGGTTCGACTCCAGAAGAAATGGCAGCAAGAAACTGTTGATGTTCGGGAGAAAATTTAGAACAAGAAACAAAGTTAGCAATGGGATAAGGAATACCTGAGGATAGACTGGAGGAGGTAGAAGAGGCTGCTGGATTATGTGCTATGACATTGGTGCATGTATAATCCTTGAGATATTTGGGAGGATGGCGAGAACGATGACCACGACCCAAAGTTTCTGATGCAGTAGTTGATGGTATTTGAGACTGTTCATGTTGGTCGACTAGATTATCTGATGTAACAGTTCCTGGTAGTATGGATTGTTCATAGTGTGCAACCAAAGGTAAAGAGCGTTGGTCAACATCTGCAGGAGTTGTAGGATGTGGTGCAATTTCGCAATCAACTGATTGAGTGGAAGAAGATGTGTCGTGTGCAGCCGGTGTTGGTTCTGCTTCAACATGAGACTGCATCAGTTGGGAAACTTCAATGTTGGTAGGAGTTTCTGTTTGGGTTTCATAGGGAAAGATGGTTTCTTCAAATACCACATCTTTAGAGACAAATATGGTCTGTGTATCAAGGTTATAAAGCCTCCATCCTTTCTTGCCAAAAGGGTATCCCAGAAACAGGCATCGGACTGACCTTGCAGCAAACTTGTCTGACGATTTGGGACGTGGATGAGCATAACAAAGGCATCCGAAGACACGAATGTGATCGTAGTTTGGTGTACGATTAAAAAGGCGTTCAAATGGAGTCTGTCCTTGAAGAAGAGGTGTCGGGGTCCTGTTGATTAGATGAACAGCAGTGAGAACACATTCTCCCCAAAATTCAATGGGAAGATGAGCTTGAAAGCGTAGTGCCCGTGCTACATTCAAAATGTGTCTGTGTTTCCGTTCGACTCGTCCATTTTGTTGTGGTGTGTCCACACATGATGTTTGGTGTATAATCCCCATGTCTGAGTAAACCTTACGAAGATTAGTAGCACAGAACTCTGAACCATTGTCGGATCGTATTATTTTGACATTGGCATTGAACTGAGTACGAACCATCAAGAGAAACTGAGATAAGTATTGGAACGTTTCAGTTTTAGTCTTCATTAAATAAACCCAGACATTTCGGCTAAAATCATCCACAATAGTTAAAAAATATCTTGCACCAGTTAAAGAAGCAGTTTGATATGGACCCCATATGTCACAATGAATAAGATCAAAACATGAAGTAGTTTTATTAATGCTAACAGGAAATACAGTGCGAGTTTGTTGTGCTCTAAGGCAAATATCGCATACTGAAGAAGAAATTTCCTTATGTTTATTCATTGTAACAAAAGGGAGAAAATGCAAGGACTGAAACGACGGATGACCCAAGCGACGATGCCAAATATCTGCAGTCTGTTGTTTTTGAGCAGTACATGCAGTAAGGGAGGATCTTTTATTTAAGGAGTCATGCACATAAACACCAGCCTGCAATCTACCCAGTCCAATCTTGATCCTCGTTGTGGGGTCCTGCAATTCACATCCAGTGTGAGTAAAAGAAATAATGCAATTTGTATCAGCAAGTAATTGAGCAACTGAGATAAGATTGCATTTTAATTGTGGAACATATAACACATCCTGAAGAATAATATTGGATGTCAACTGAAAAATTCCTCGTTGAACTGATACGAGTTGATCACCATCTGGTAAGCCTATGGAAGTAGGTGGAATGGATTCAACATTCGAGATTAATTGAAGATTCCCAGTCATGTGTTGAGAAGCACCACTATCCACTAACCAGGTGTAATTTGGAATGTGCTTACCAGAAAGTGTTGTAGTATTAGCAGAGGGTGTAGAGGGAGAGACAACCATGTTGGCAATCTGCTGAAGAATCTCAGGAGTCAGATTTGGAACGAAATTCGGGTTGGAAAACGTAGGTATGGCAGCTGCGGTTTGTGGTGCAGGAGAACTAATTGTGTAGTTCCTTTTGTCATAGGGTTTGCCACGTCCTCTACCCCGACCATAGGGTGGTTTGCCATGAAGTTGGTAACATTTAGAGACATCATGGTATAGCTTACCACAGTGGCTGCATCGAACAGGATCAGCATTGGAGGAAGGGAGTTTTTGAATATCTCTTGTAGCATAGCTGAGCACATCAGTTCGGGTTTCATGAGTCTGAGCCATATGGAATTGAGTCTCTTCTTGAACTAACGTGGAATACGCTTTGTTCAGAGATGGTAGATTTGGTTGGTTCAGCAGTTGTGTGCGGATTGTGCCAAACATAGCGTTGTCCAGGCCTAGGAGGAATTGATAGACCCGATCATGAGCCATTTCTTTTGTGATATGTTGAGTAACAGGACAATGAGCACCATAAGGGCAATCAGGTAGTGCGCGTGCAGCATCAAGTTCATCCCAAGCTCCCCGTAGTTTGGTATAATATTGACTGACCGAAATGCCCTGTTGTCGAAACTGGAAAAGGTTTGCTTTCAGTTGATAAATTTTGGGAGCATTTTGAATGGAGTAGCGTTCCCGTAGATCATCCCAAAGGGCCTTGGCTGTGGGGAAATAATGAATATATGGCTTGAGTAGAGGATCAATAGTGTTGTGTATCCAACTGTTGATCATGGAATTGCAAAGAGTCCAAGCGTGGGTTTCATCAAACGCATCATTGGCAGGTTTGGTGATAGAACCGTCGATGAAGCCAACCTTATTTTTGGAAAGGAGAGCATTTTTAAATGCTTTGGCCCAGACATCATAGTTAGATTCTCCTTTCAACACCACATTTGTAAGGAATAAGCCAGGGCTATCAGATGTGGCATGAAAAATGGGGAACGAGGATCAGAAGGTTTAAGGGTAGGTTCGATGGCTGCTTCTGATGTGAGTTTTGCATTGGTATTGTCATTGGCAGCGGAAGAATCTGAATCAGCCATGGGAAATTGGATCGTTACTGTTAAACTGATACCATATAGAAAAGTATGAAAGGATTGAATGATAAGTGTTGTATTGCTTTGTGGCAGATAGCCAATTATATATACAAATGACAACAAACTGAAACAAACGATAACAAACTATCGTAACAATACTATATGGAGAACAAACAAACTATCTTAACCAAACTATACAGATACAAGATATTAACAAACTCTTCCTAAAGACTTGGTCTTCATTAGTTGAAGAATAAGATCAAAGGTGATCTTATCCTAACAATGTCAAATAGCAGGTTTAGCTCCCATTGAGCAAACATACTACATATATTCAAAAATGAAAGTGTAAATATGTCTAATGTTTTTTCTTCTTTTTTTGGTTCAACCAAGTGTAGAGTGTAGCACAATCATCCTTTAGCATCAAATTAATTTAAGCATATCGAATTGGTCCGCCAATTGAATGACTCCTTTAATTGAAGGGTATTGTGTCTTAGTTAACCTTGCATCATCGTGCACAATCAAGTGTACACATTCTTTTCTTTTATTTCTTGTCTAGCCTTTAATTAATTTGTGTGTGTACATGTAGTATGAAAGTTTCCATTTGTGGCTAATATAAAGTAAAGCATGTGTCCAATTCTCTCCAATACCGTTTTTGGGAGGAGTTCAAAGTCTTAGTACCCGTCCCGAATCGGACTAGTTAAGTAAAGTAGTGGAGTAGTTGATGTTTTGAGAGAATAAAGTATCCAAAACGAATGAAAAACTTTAGCAAGGTAGTTAAGGTTTTGTACGCCATCTTGGATCATGCAATATGCTCCTGCCATCACCACCAACTAATCTATATCTTTCAATGCACCTTTCTTTCCTGATTCCTCGTTTCTCTTCCTTAACAGAACACAAGGCCAAAAAATTATTTCATGGCAAAAATCTCTCTCTCATTCAGCCTCTGCAGTTCACCTACCATAGTAACAGCCACGTCTCCAATACATATATAAAAACATATTCTTGTGAAATAAAGAAGAAACAGGCATTGATGTAAGGAGCTTGATCAATTGTTTCTGATCTCAGTTTGCTGAGATGGGACTTTTGGATATGATCCAAATTTTGAGATGAGGGTGCAGTTAACTGTTGCTATCAACTAAGTTTGTATGGATCTCAGTTTTTGTTTCTTCTGCTTCTGGTTTGTTTGTTCTTCAATTCTGCTCTTGCGTTTCTTGATTTTAGTCAAAGGAAGAAGCGTTAGTCATTTTGTCTTTGGGAGTTCAAAGAGGAAGTTCTACTATCATCTATCAGGTCTATCTCATTCGTTTTTTTACTCTTTATGGTGGTATTTGCGTGGATGCATGCATGTGGGTGTTTCAAAAGTGCAAAGGAATATATAGTACATTAATTATCTTATATGATACGACATTTGATTTTTTATTATTTTGTTTGACAGAAAAATATAAGACAATATATGTATGATTTTGATATCTGACAAACTCTTGATCTGTACCTGGTTTCTGTCGGCTAGCTAGCTAAGGGGTCTCATCATCCATTGGCATTTTATGATCAATTATTTTAATTAGGTGAGATGAACATGGTCATGCAAAACTTAACTGAGAGACTAAGACCCCTTGTGGGTTTGAACGGTTGGGACTACTGTGTCTGCTGGAGATTGAGTGAAGACCAAAGGTTATTATGATGCATAACAACTATTCATTCCACTTTTTTTTTCTTTTTTTTTTCTCTGTCTCTATCCTTGGTCCAATTGTGATGCTTGCTTTAGGTTTCTTGAGTGGCTGGGGTGCTGTTGTGCTGGCACTGATCAAAACAATCAAAATGCTGGGGAAGAACATCTTTTCCCTATCTCTTCTTCAGTGGCTTCATGCAGGGACACCATTTTTCCACACCCAAGAACAAAGCCCTGTGATCTTCTTTCCCAACTCACCACTTCCATACCCATAGATTCTGGGTATGCATATATTCTTTCTTACCTATATTTTCCCCTTTGTTCTCTCTACTACTGAATTGTTTAGACCAGCTGTCCTGTACTCTCACTAATCAAGCCTATTAACAGGATTCATGCACAGACCTTATTAACAAACCAACCCAATTGGGTGAACTATTCCAATAACTTGGATTCTAACATTTTGGAAGTAAGTTCATTTCTTCACATTAAGTCCCATTTTTTACTTCATGTTTAGATGCAAAGAATGAATTTCACTTTTTTTTTTCTTAGCTAATTCCATATATATATTGAGTACTATTTTGCAGGAAACAATTGGGACCCAGGTTTTGATTCCGGTGCCGGGTGGACTAGTTGAGCTGTTTGTAACTAAACAAGTACTGTCATGTTACATGTTCTTATTCACTATTCGAGAGATATTTCTAAGTAGGTAGCATAAATATATTAAACTTGTTTTTTCTTTATATATTTTTTATAACAGGTGCCTGAGGATCATCATGTAATAGATTTTATCACAACCCAGTGCATTGTCTTGGTGGAGCAGGAAGCGGTGAACCACTCAATGAGCTTCAATATTGACGTGAATTCAATGAGCAACATGCAATCAAATGCACTTCTAGGCGATGAAAATGAAGGGAATAACAGGAACAATCATTTCCAGACCCCAATTTCTCACACAACAGCATCAGAGACTTTGAGTCTACCACATGATGTATCTATGGACCGCATTGGTCTCTGTAGTTCTCCACTGAACTTCATGCAGCAGTTCAATTACAACCAGCAGAACAGAATGAAAAACGATGTATTTTCTGAAGAATACCAAGGTTCCTTCCTTCATGACAAGCAAAGTAACCAACTCAAATCCTCTGCAGAAGAGGAGCATGATGCGTATCAGAAATGCATGATTACAGATTCCCAATATATGGAGCCTTTGGACACCAAGGAGAAGCAAGGACACGACAAGGACTTGCTGAGACACGTTGTTGGTCGATCAGATTCAATGTCAGATTGCAGTGATCAGAATGAAGAAGAGGATGATGGAAAGTATAGGAGAAGGAATGGGAAAGGAAACCAGTCCAAAAACCTTGTAGCAGAGAGGAAGAGAAGGAAGAAGCTCAATGACAGGTTATATAACCTTCGTTCTTTGGTTCCAAGAATCTCTAAGCTGGATAGGGCTTCCATTCTCGGGGATGCCATTGAGTTTGTAAAAGATTTGCAGAAGCAAGTGAAAGAGCTCCAAGATGAGCTTGAGGAAAATTCAGACACAGGAGCTGAAAGCAACTGCATCAATGGAAATAATCAATACGTGGTGGGTGTTCAACCAGATATTGTTAGACAGATTAATGGAGGTGAACTTGGGCCAAAAGCTGAACATGAAAAGACCCAAACTGGGTTTCATGTGGGGACATCAGGGAATGGATTTATGTCAAAACAGAAACAGGAAATTGATGCTATTGCCATTGAGAAGCAGACTCAGCAGATGGAGGTACCTAATTAATTAACCTTGCTTATAATGTATATACAGCCTCCTTTTGTTTTAGTTTAGACATAAGCAGTGTTGTCTTGTATGTGAATTGTGCTTTTATGACTCAAATTAAGTGCAAAACTTGCATATTGCAGCCACAAGTTGAAGTGGCTCTAATAGACGGGAATGAGTATTTTGTGAAGGTGTTCTGTGAGCATAGGGCTGGTGGGTTTGTGAAATTGATGGAGGCATTGAATACTTTGGGCATGGATGTAGTACATGCCACTGTAACCAGCCACAAGGGCCTCGTGTCAAATGTTTTTAAAGTTGAGGTAAGATATCTTGTAGATATATATACTTATGTAGTATATATAGAGTGATATCATGTCCATACATACACATTGAATTGGTTAAGACTCCAAATGATGACAATGATTCTTCTTTTTTTTCTTTTTTTCTTTTACTTTTGGGGTGCTTAATAGAAAAAGGACAGTGAAATGGTTGAGGGCGCTGAAGATCTAAGAGACTCACTAATTGAGCTTACGCGGAACCGACCTAGAGAGTGGACTCATGAGATGACAGCAACATCAGAAAATGGTGTGGGCAGGGATCAACATCTCCTCCACAACCACCAAATGGGTGGCTATCACCCTCACCAGTTTCATAGTTAAATATATTTCAAGTTGTTCTCTCATAAGCTTTGTTATTGAAGATTTTTTAAAATGTTAAATAAATACTTTGGCATTTACGATGAATATAAAGCGGTCATTACAAGAATACACTGTTGCATTCACACAACCGCGTAAGCATAATGTACGTCCATACATACATAGGGAGACTTAATTGTGTTTTTACACGATAACAATATTGAAACATAAAGAAAAATGTTTATTAAAATAGATATAATAATGTCTCCCCCAAGCACAAGATCAATTGCCGTAATTGGATAGCTAGTTCCATCGAGCAAAGCTACAAAAGTGAAAAGTCATTAATAGATTGAGTACAAAATTGTGCTAACATCTTGTGCCCTGAAGTTCTATTGACTTGTTCAATAGTTTTGATTGGTGATCTATTGGCTGGTAGTTTCCAAGACAACACACACAATAGTATTAAAGGTACTTCGCTTGAAATACGTTAGTGATGATCTTCTTCACTCTCTAGAATTGTATATGAGTAAATTCATAGCCACTCAATGTAAGGGTTACATGACATGTAAGAGTTACATGAGATTATGATTATAAATCTAACATCACTCATTGTAAATTTCTTTATCAAATCAAGTAATCAAACAATAGACTGATTAAAGAGAAAAATAACAAAATTAAAGAAGAAATTCTGGCTAAGGATATGGAAGAATAATTTCTTAAGTGATGTAACTTTAATCTATTGAGCACGGGTCCGTCTTTGAGAGAAAAATATTCTATGATTCTTTCTTTATTTTTTTATCTCTCCTCTCTCTCTCTCCATGGCCCACATGTGCCAAGACCGTTGAATATTCACTCATCTTTGAGATCGTCCCTCACTCTAACAATAAAAAGGGGTTCGAAAAAACAAAAACCAAAATTTTTTTTCACCTTAAATTCTTCTTAGCTATAGAGAACTATATATAAATCCAAAGGGAACAAAAAAAGTACGCAACTATGTTAAAAGATGCAGAAAGTCTGTCCAAATTGTATTATATATCTTAAGTATGTCTAAAATGCTAACGTTGCAAAATGTAGATCTGGATTTGCAATTGAATTTGGGAAACTATTTTTGAATCTAGAGGTGTGCCTGAGATAAATTTTTGGTACCACTGTTGTATCCAAGTGGGTACAACTTTTTTCTATTTTTAGAAAAAAAATTAAAACTTTTCAAAAAAATTCAAATTTATTTTTCCCGCCATGTTGCACGTTTTTCCAAAAGTAGAAAAAAATTGTACCCACTTAGGTACAACAGTGGTACTAAAAGATTTATCCGTGTGCCTGATATTCATCGAGGATATGAAAGATAAAGCTGGCTTTACATGAGTTCAATATTGTTCGGACGAAATAGTCGAGTTTCCGAAGAAAAAATAAAATAAAGCAAGTAGAACCAAGTTGTAAAATTTTGGCCTTTTATTTATCTGTTATTTTTAGCAAAGTTTATGATATGGGAATGGAAGCAATAAACAGATGAGTATAGCCTAAGTAGAGGTTGGGAGATTCTTGTGGGAAGCTTATCTCAATTTGTTAGCTATGTGAAAGATGTTTCATGGCGTTAATCATGAATAGCATAATAAACAATATAATTATCTTCACGATTGAGTATGATTTGAGCATCAAATTTAAAAAGCTCGATTTTTGGATAGTTTCTCTCGGGAATCCATCAGAGCTTCAACGGTTCAGAGTTCATAAAATAACATATCATTCATATTATAATCAGTTCATGAGTGTCCCTTAAGATTAAGATAAAAAATTTAGCGACTTCTTATAGGATTAAAATCCTCTCATTTGTCATATAACTTCGTTTATTGTTATCCTTGAGTTTTTTTTATCCAATTTGTATCAGACATAGAAGTGTAAATCGGCTAGGTCGGCCTACAAGGACCTACGGCTTAGCCTATATTAGACTAGACTTAGCCTGTTACAAATAGTAAAATAGAACGGGCCTAGGCTTTTAAAAAAATCTATTTAGAAAATAAGCTATATGCTTTTTTGTACATATCGAGCCTATAAATCTGCATACTGGCCTATATCATATTAATTTTAAATAAAATTATTATTTTAATAAATTTGAATAATAAAGTAATATTATTTTAGTTATTTTTTTAATTATTGAATGTTTAATAGGCTTATACAGACTAATAGGCCTAGGTCAAGACTTTTACTTTTTAAATATAGGTCAGATTAGACTTGTAATTTGGGGCCTACACAGGTTAACAAGTCTGACCAGACCCAATATTTTTTACACAAACTTGATCTATTTAAGTCAAAGCCTAATCTAACCTAACCTATTTACATCGCTAATCAGACACAACTAATAGGATAAATATAAGAAAATTCTATTTATCTCCATCTTACATGTAAGGGAAAAGTGTCTATCATTTAAAATTACACAACTTACATCCTTTCACTCTCACAAAGAGGTGAGACCCACACTTTTATTTTATTTTTGTCAACTCTCTCTCCTCCTTTATCTATCTCTTTCTCTCTCTTAAAATGACACAACTTTACATCCTTTAAAATTATACACACTTTTCCCTACATGTAATTTATCTTTTAAATCTTTAGCCTGTTAAATTATTATTATTTTAATAACTCGGAGTACGTGTATTGAGCTGGCTCTTTGTTTGAAGAGAGTGTGTATTGAAAGGTAAGGGTGAAACTAATCCACATGCGATTTGGCCTCTAACCTCAAAAAGTATTTTCAAGGATTGAATTTGTTGGGGCATACTCCACCAACCAAGTATGTCACCTTTAGAATCAGCTCCTTTTAAACTTTGATTAGCAGCGAGAATTAAAATATATCAATTGTTATATTGGTAATTAATTTTCTACTATCAATTTCAATATTATCATTATACGAAAGGGTATAAATTATCCTTTGATGAGTTGGGATGAATTAAACGAATTAAAAATGTAAAAGTAATTGAAAAATTTTGGGTTGCATTATTCAAATTAAATTAAAGATTTATAATGTGTTAAATTTTTGATAAATAAAAAATTTATAATCTTATCCGACTTGACCAATAAATTTTTTGATGAAACAGTCCAAAAAATTATATAAAAAAAGAAAAAATATTTATCTTTTTAAAAGATAGTCATTTTAGTTAAAATTAATTTTTTATTTAAAAATTAAATTAAAAAAAATCTCTCACTTTCTCCCCCATAATTTAATTTTCATTGTGTATCTATTTTTCTAGGACAAACACCAATTCCATAATTTTTTTTTTATTGTATTAGGATATAGTATTTGATGATTTCGTACAAAAATGGCACCCGGCGTGGTCTATTCGATTATTTGTTGTGCAAGGTTCCCTGGCTTTCGATGGCTTGGCATAAATATAATAATGTGATGTTTGGCCGCACACAAAACCCCTAAACATCACAAACTGCTTTCTTCTTCCCTTTATCCCTTTTGATTTTTATCTCCTTTCTAAGCACTTTTTTATTTTGCTTCGGATGTTTAGCTATCATTGTTGTTCTGAATTCCCACTTTTCTGCTATATTGCAGCATTTTTTCCTGTTTCAATGACCAGAAACGTAATAAAGAAAAAAGACGGCCTAGCCAAAAACATGGATTACAGAGTTCATGAACCCCATTTTCATTCTCTGCAGTTAAGATTGTTTATCCTAAAATTCACCCAATTACAATTTTTTTTTTTTTAAAAAAACGCTCCGAACTTGGGCATAACTCATCATGCTATATGCAGAACACAAAAAAATGTCTCTTCAATGTTCCCCCACACCGTAACCATCTGATGATCTTCTTAACTGTTATTTTCTACAATTTGTTAGTGGGAGATTAGTTTATGAGTTTAATATTTTTTATGTAGGAGATAATTTTATCTTTTATTAAAAGTATACAATATTTATTTATTTTTTCTCTCTTTTCTTCACATGGCTTTATATGGATCTTACATATTTTTATGTATATGTAAGAGATAATTTTATTTCCTATAATATAAGAAACTTCAAAGCCTTAGTTTATGGGGATAATTATATTTACCCCCATTTTACACTTACCACTGTTGCTATCTATTTGGTTACATTGGATCAATTTGAAATCAACGATAGTTAATTATTCTCTTTTTTTATTCATTGATTTCAAATTGAACATCCCGAGCACTGACGAGGACGGAGAGTGATCGCCGGTGCAAAGAGGCACGGATAAGGAGCGGCTCCTGACAGGCTTCCAGCGGGGGGTTACATGTATGAATGAATCGAATCGACACCCGAAAGAGAGGGATTCCAAAGGCTGTGCAGGTATAAGACTGCACAGTTTGGGATAGCTTATATGAATTAATTGGTACTACCCATACATGAATTAATTATTCTCTTTTTTTATTCATTGATTTCAAATTGATCCAACAGGTAATCTGTAACATCTCGAGCGCTGACGAGGGTGGGGAGTGATCGCCGGTGCAAAGAGGCACGGACAAGGAGTGGCTCCTGACAGGCTTCCAGTGGGGGGTTACATGTATGAATGAATCGAATCGACACCCAAAAGAAAGGGATTCCAAAGGCTGTGCAGGTATAAGACTGCACAGTTTGTGATAGCTTATAAGTATAAGACTCCTAACAAGATGCATCTTCTTTTCGGTAGCCTGGATCGGAAGAACTCCACAGTTAAGCGTGCTTGACTTGGAGCAATTCTGGGATGGCTGACCTCCTGGGAAGTTTTCCCGGGAAGTGTGCGAGTGAGGAAAAAGCACACTGAAAAGTTTCGTGTTAATACGTGAGGATAGTCATTGATTCTTGAAGCGGTCGGGATTTACATAATCGAATAAGTTGTAAGAGTGATAAGTCTAAAATGGTGTAAATAAAACCTCCACCTTACTTTATAGTGTCTCTTTGAGAGTTCTTTTTTTAGCTTCTCTTCACCTTATAAGTAGAAATTAGGTCAAATAAGTTTTTACAAAAGTTCTTATAATAAAAAAAGTATTTTTTATGGTAAAGAAAAAGCAAAAATTCAAAAGGTCAAGCTTTTTTTAAATTGTATTTGGTTTTTTTTTTAAATACGTGCTTTTTTTTTTAAATGAATAATTTTTAAGTAGCTTTTAAGCTAAATTTTTTATATTATCAACAAATACCCCGTAATTTTATTTTTAAAGCTCTTTTTTAGCTTAAAAAAAAGAGATGCCAAACATGCTTATAATACTTAGGGGGCGTTTGTTACAAGGTTTTTTTTAGGATTCCCGAAAAATTGAAAGTGATAATTGTATTTACCCACGTTTAGTACAAGATTTTTAAAATTTTCTCGGAATTTTATTTTGTGTGTAAATTTTTTTAAAAATACTATCCAGAAATATCATCCAGAGGATGGTATTCTAGGATTTCTATGACAAGGAAAAATTTAATACAACTAAACATAATATCAAGAAAATTAACCCAATATTTTCAGGAATATTTTAGTGTACCAAATAACTTTTTGGTAACATTTCCATAAAACTCATCTTTCTATCATATTCTTGAAAATCGTGATTCTCGGATAAAAAAAAAATTTCCTCCACCAAACGCCCTCTTAGTGATTTTGCAACTTCTACTATTATTTCTGGTGAGTTAATTTTTTTTTAAAAAACTTTAATACACTGGGATCACCAAATTCGGTATTTTTTTTTTTTTAAAAATTTCTTTTTAAGTCCTAAACTTTTTTCCATTTTAGTATAAGGAAACACGAATTCGGGGATCTCAATACATTATACACTGAAGTTTTTCTCGTATGTTTTCGTGGTGAGCACCCACCAAACACATGTATGCGTTGAATGAGTCAAGAGTGTTGCTATATTTCAGTCCATGTTTTGACTAAGTTATTTAAGTGTCCTAGTCTTTAGGAGTTTGTTCTGTTCTGTTACAAACTCAATGGCACAGGAGAAAGAAAAAACAGACCAATAGAAGGGAAATAAATACTTTTATTAACTATCTCACGTAACTACAATTGACATAAGCCAAATATACACTTTAAACTAGCTAAAGATTAGCAATAGAAACAAATCACTTACAATTACACGTCACTAACAAACTCTTAAAGGCTAGGCATTTCGTAGTTTATTAAAAACATGGACTAAAACGTAGCAACAGACTTGAATGATTTCGTTTCCTCTCTCAAAAAAAATTCGCTTTGCTATTACCCGTTTTTTACTTAAAAGTATACATATGAAAACACAACGTTCATATTTACAAAAAAAAAAAAAAAAAAAAACACAACGTTCATAAATAAATAATCAAATCCACATACCTAACTAAAGTCTTCACATAAAAACATCTACAAATCCTGAGGGCCAATATAAATCTACTAATTTCCCCCCTTAAATTTTTATATATAGAAAACAATCCATAAATGATAAATCCTGAAAAAGATAAAAAAAGTAAGCCCCAACTTTGTTGAGAGATGCAGAAAGGGCATAAATTTCTGTCCAAATTTTTTCACTTCAAGTATCTCTAAATATGCTAATGATGCAAAATATAGTTCTGAATTTGCAATTCAGTTTTTTTTTTTTTTTTTTTTTTTAAAAAAACAACAACTGTAGGACTAGTATTCATCCAACATATGGAAGATAAAGCCAGTGTACGAAAAAAGGACACTAGAAAACGATAACATTTGTTTGGCTTTTTTTTTTCTCTTCTTTTTTAAGCAAAGTTTTTGGGATGGGGAATGAACAGATGAATATAGTATAACCAGAGACTGTGACTTGTGAGACTCAATTTGTTAGCTATCTGAAAAACAAGATGTTTCGTGCAGGGCCTTAATCATGAATAGCATAGTAAAAAAATAAAATTATATTCACAAGAAAAATAACAGATATGAAAACTTGGATTGGAGAATAATAGTGTCTCTCGATATAAGAACATAAAACACTTATCAATGTTGAAAAAAGAGAGAGGAGAACTTGGCCATTGAGTGTGATTTGAGCATCAGTTTTAAAAAGCTCGATTTTGGGTAGCTTCATGGAATAACCAATAAGCAATTAATGATAATTTCACTTCATTCATCATCTGCTCAAATGCTCATATTCTCAATCTGGCCAAAATAATATTAATAATATAAAAGATGAAAAGAAAGATGAGAAGGAAAACAAAGAAATTACTGCTGATGAATTTTAGAGTTTAGGAAACCTCATACAGTCCTATTTATTTATAGTATAGTAGTTCAGTATCCCTTAAGATTTGTGATAAAGGTTTTAGCGATAAGATTAGAATCCTATGCTTGTTGTATCACTATCTTATCTTTTAGTTTTTTATACAGTTTGTAAATTGTAACAGACACTAAACAGATAAGAAAAATCTATTTATCTTCATATTATATGTAATTTATTTTAAAGATCTTTAATTCATATAGCTCCTTTTAAATTTTGATTGGCAGCAAGAATTTTTATTTATTAATTGTTTAATTGGTAATTAACTTTCTATTATTAATTTCAACATCATCATTGTGATAAAGGACATAAATTACCCTTTAATGGGTTGAGATAAACTATACCAATTAAAATTTCAAAAGCGATTTCTAAAAAAATTGGTACCTATTATTCAAATGTTTGTTATAATAGGTTCATACAGTCCTATATAGTGGTTCAGTATCCCTTAAGATTTGTGGTAAAAGTTCTAACGATAAGATTAGAATCCTATCCTTGCCGTATCACTTTTTGTTTTACGTTATCTTACTAAACTGATTGATAAGATAAATCTAAGAAAATTCTATTCATCTTCATATTACATGTAGTTTATTTTTTTAATCTTTAGTACACACCGTTCCATTTAAATTTTGATTGGCAGCAAGAATATTTTTTTTTACTAATTGATTCATTGGTAATTAATTTTCTGTTATTAATCTCAACATCATCATTGTGATAAAGGATATGAATTTCCCTTTAATGGGTTGATATAAACTAAAGCAATTAAAAAAAAAAATTGGTACTATTATTCAAAGTTTTGTTATAATAGGATTGCATTCGATGATTTCGTACAAAAATGGCAACCGTGTGGTCTAGGCATAATGTAGGCATAATGTGCTGTTTGGTCATACAAACCCTTAAACATCACAAACTGCTTGCTTCATATCCTATTTTCCCTTTTGCTTTCCACCTCCTTTCCTAAGAACTTTTTATGTTGCTTCTGATTTTGAGCTTATTAGCTATCATTCCACTTTTCTGCTAATATTACAGCATTTTTTCTTTTTTCATTCTCTGCTATTAAGATTGTTTATCCTAAGATCCATCCAATTACCATTTTTTTTCTTAAAGAATACGAACAATAGTTAACGGGAATGTTATATTTATAAAGTTACGCTCTTACAAACTACATTATGTCTTATCGGTAAGACACTTTTGAGTGAAGTTTTACCGATAAGACATAATGTAATTTGTACGTTTGTAAAAAAAAGAAAATTTGTCAATATAACCTTCCTTATTTTAATATTGTATCTTTAATTATTTGTTCATCTTCTTTACTTTTATTTTATATAATTTGTTAATGGTACATTAGTATATGATACTTGGAGATTTTGCAACTTCTAATATTTCTCCTGTAAAAAATTTAATTTTAAACTTATGTAAACTGAACCTATGTAGTACAATTACCGAAGTCCCGAAGTTCAATGTTTGCTAATCTATTGTATGTTTTCAAGGTGAGCACACACCAAACACATAAATGGCTGGGGTAGGAGTCTAAATATATATTTGGAGTGTAGAAGAAGATCCCTTTCTATGAGTTGTGAAAGTATACATGTGCAAACACAATGTGCATAAATAAATAATCAAATCCACATACGTAACCAAAGTCTTCATCAAAAATACAAGTTGAACAATAATAATCCGAAAGGAATAAATTTCCCAATAACTCTCAATCTTTCAGAGATATAACTCGTACAAGAATTATCCGAGGGAGTTTGTACAATTTGTGGGGTAAATGCACCATCGGTGGAATTAGTAGCAGTGGTAACATTGTTGCTATCTTTTACTAGAACTCCAAATCTCATGCCCCCAAGGCAGTGCCCTGCTATGTTGCAAATGAACCAATATCTCTTCACCTCATTTAGTGTCACTTGATCTTCTCCGCTCTCATACTTGGCCAACACTCCACTACTTGCATCACACGATCGGAAAGTGTCCTCTTTTACTTCATACACATTATGTTGCCCTTTCACGTACTTGAAAACTAAACCAAAACAAAAAACAGTATCAATAAAAACAAATAAGCATTCTCTTTTAAAAGACAATAAAATCATAGGAAACTCTTGTATTGGTGAAAACAAAAAAGACATCAAACACAATAATAATCAAGTAAAGATTAAAATGAAGTACCAAGAACATCTCCTAGGCTAAAATTGTATCCCTCTGCCCATGAAGCATAATTTGTTTGGCTACTCCATTCTTCTTGGTCACCAACGGTATAAACACTAGCCATGACACAGTTCAAGAGAAAACTACAGAGCAAAGTAAGAATTGCCAGCAGGAAGGTACAACTTTTGAAGAAACTTGTACCCCCCATCATGATGTCACTGAAAATATAAGATGTAATGGAACAGTGGCTGAAATAAGGGTGTGTTGCCACTTGCCACTTGCCACAGGCTTGCTTGTGTTTGAAGAAGTAGCTAAACTATGAAATTCTAGTTCATCCTATAATTTCTGTCAACATTGGGAAATTTGTCATGATTTTGGTTTATATCATGAATAAGAAAGATTGATATAGACACGCTTGGCATTTAAACTAACTGAAAGATGCCTTTAGCAAAATAAAATACAAAGGGGGCCTAATGGACTCAAAACAAACAAACTTTTACGCTTGAGAGTTGGAAGGAAAGGCTGGCTGAAATGATGTTAACTTCACGCCCAAGATACGTTATCCTTGTGTTTTTCCATTGCTATGCAATGTTTGGTCTTTTCCTTTTTTATTCTTCCTCTTCTTTCCGTTAATAACTTAGTAATCATAATAGATAATTTTGACTTTATTGCCGCATCTAGAATTCTAGACACTAGATATTGCATAAGCACAACTTTACAAAGTTCTTTTTCTTTTGCCAGTGACTTATTGTTTTTTTAACAGCAGTGACTATTGGTCTAAACATAGTATTTCCATTTGCAGTCTGAAGTATAGGTCCAAATATTCAGGGCCGTCTCCTTAAGTCATTTCTGGAGAAAAAAACAAGTGTCATCAATGTTTTCACGGAAAAGGAATAAAATGGTGGTACTTTTGAAGACCCAAAAGGTTCTTAAATAATACAGCTTCCTCATGAACGATGCTTATGTTTGTGGGTTGAAGATGAAATATAAACCCAAATACTATGGCCCGAGAATTTTTGAAATGGTACATATTTCTCCACTAAAAAGAAAAAAATGTAGATTCATATGATTCTAATTTTAGTGAGTTTGATACTGCATTCTCAGTACTATAAATTACCGAAAATTTATCCAAAATACTGATACTGAAATGTTGTCATGACACGAGTCAAATATACATGGTGGACTGGCAACAAGTAATTTTATAAACAAACAACAAATAAAATGACCAACAACTTATTAGGGTGGCATATGAAGCACCGACACTTCAAAAATCCTAGTGTGTCGTGTCTGACACTTCCCGACACTCCAATACTCGTTGCAAAGACTCAAAAAAGGTTCAAAAGTTACGTTGCGTTGCATTTTGAGTTCCAACTATTAGATCGTTAGATTACGATTACGATTTTATTGAGTTTAATATAAACATTTGAGATATATTATGTTTCTTTGCAAAATTGATGGGTATCATAAGTTTAGCTTTATTTTTTTGTTAAATTATTGAATACTAAATATAATATACACTTTTCACCAAAAAAAATATATAATATACACTACATAAATTAAAAATATTATATAATATCAAAACGTGTCCCAATGTGTCGAAATATAACATATTTTAAAATTAATGTGTCGGAGTTTTGTGTCGTATCTCGAGTCCCGTGTCGGTGCAGGTGGATACTGACCAAAAAAATGAAGTTTGATAAGATAAGAAATCAACTTTTTAAAATTTAATAAAATACGAGCACTAGGATAACATATCATCATGGATGCGTATCAATATATTCACTTACCATTTTTTTTAGTAGATTATATTCACTTACTTTTATTTTATCATCAGTGGTTGCTATATGAATTCCATAACAGCAACCTTATATGACCCCAACTATTAGTATTAAAATATAAGCATAAGCAGCCAAAGCTCTTGAAGGCTAAGCATATTTGGTCAATAACTATTTAAAAAGTAATCTTTTTATTTTTCAAAACTCTCAAAAACCTTTTGATTAAAAAAATTTCGGAACCCATAATGAACGAAACACAATAATGCTTTTCCTTATCATCAAATGGCTTTTGTGTTTAAGGTTTACGGCCTGATCCCTAGTCTCAACTTCCCAATTCTCCACCTAGATCCCAACAGGAGATTTCTACCTTCTCAAAAAAAATAAGAGAAACCAAGTGAATAATCCGATTTAGCCCGCCAATTCATGTAGTTTGCCTTTAATTTGTTTAGACTATTTGATTGTGGACGCAAATTTCAAGAGGAACGAAACTCATGATCAGGAGTTTTAGTTCTTAATTCTCACAAGCAGCAGTAACTGAATCACTTGTGAGAAGAGTTTAACCCATTTTAGTTCGCTTTTGATTAGAGCCCATTAAGCCATCCTCGTAGCTTCTAATCCATTTTGACTATTTTGATGTTAAAACTAAAAATACATTTAGCGCTCAAGGAGGAACTCTTACGGCGTGTGTGGAATCTTCAAAGATGACAAGGGAAATTACATCTTGGGATTTTCTAAGAATTGGGGAAAAGGAAATTCAATTTTGGCGGAGCGTTGGGGAATTCTTGTAAGATTGGAGGTAACTTGAGATAGAGGAATTAAACAAGTCCAAGTGGAGAGTAACTCTGAGCTAGCTCAAGACCTTATTGATAAGGGTTGCAATATGCAACATCGGCTTCACTTTAATGCATTGTGTAAGTGACGTCTTCAATAGAGTATGGAGAATTGAGATTTCTCACACTTGTAGAGAGAAGGAAATGACATAGCTGATGCACTTGCCACACATGCTCATCTTTTTGGACGGGAAACACAGATTTTCGCATGACCTCTTGGTTATTGCCGGTAGAAACTGGAATGGGATGCTAGGGGCATTAACCGGCCCCAATTGGTAGTGTCTGGGTAGTTCTGTTCTGTCTTTTATTTTCATTATGTGTCCCAAAAAAATGCATTTAGTTTAAGCTATTTCAATCTCTAATTCATTTTGACAGCTTTAAACAGTTAGTAACCTATTCTTTTTAAAATGACATTCCCTTCAATTTCATCAAACCATGGAGTTTCATAAATCCAAGTTGACCATTAAGGGCAAAGTTGGCTGAGACAATCCACAATCCCATTTCTTTCAGTATATGCATGACATGAAGGAGCCACTATTAGACATAAGAGGGAAACCAAGGATGGGAAGGAGCACAAACCATTTTCTATTAGCCTCGGGGAACAAAGATTGATTCCAAGATAATCTTAGAGCAACTCATTTCAACATTTTTTTATATAGGCCAAGTAGAGCTCCCACATCATGTCCTTCTTGGGTTAAACAGGCAAAAAAAATAAGAAACAAGAAATTAAAAAAATTGATCGAATAGTAGTAAAAAATTGGAATTACTGTTAAACAAAGTGAACGAGACACGGTAAAGCATCGCAATAAGAGAAACTTTACAGCACAGGATTCAGTAACACTGAAAGCCACAACCCACAAGGTCAAAATGCTAATATGAAGCTTATAAGTGAAGATAGGAAAGGGGAGGGAGCAGGGGAAAGAAGCAAGAAGGAAGAAAAAGGTAGTGATTCTTCAATTATATTCAATTCATCATATCCTCACAAACAGAAGGTAATGAATCAATGCAAGACAATCAAACGCTTTCAAATACCTGAGAAAATCCAACCCCGCCTCCCACCCTCCCCCCAGATATAAAAATAAAAATAAAAAATAAAAAATGAAAAAAGTAAATAACATACAAGTTAGTAACCCACATTGCCTCCCCTCTACATCAATCCAGCCCTGCTCCGTCAGTGGTTGCTTTTCTCAGGAGAAATGAATTGGTTCTGTTCCTTCAAGCTCCTAGAAGTGAATTGGTTTTTTAAACAACAGAAATGGAAGGTTTTAATCGTAGAAAATCAAAACACTGACAACACATGAGAACCTTTACACTTGTTGGTACCTTCAAATTTTAAATTTGGGCAGGGTCAGCAAACCCTGTTGTTAGCTTTAAAGAGGTCATGTATCTTTATAACTTTGCTATAATTCTTTCAGATGCTTAAACTCCTCGCAATCAGCTCCAACCACACTTAGTGACAAGAAAAGCTTGGGCACTATCTTGGCTAACATCAACTTGAAACCCACAGAGGTTGAATTCTGACTGCTCTTTTCACTTACAGAGGCATCTCTAGTTAGCGAGCCAATCAAGTAACCTTTCATATATGCATCACAAGCCTTTAGGATGTTATGACCACGACTCCTAAAGTGTTCTTTGATGAGCATTTCAAAATCCTAGAGGAGTATTTATCAGTATGACAACAGTCAAATATACTTTGCACAACTAAAAGAAACAACAGTAGTCTCAACAAAAACACTTAAAAATATTAAATCTAGACGTTAGAATGCAGATATAGCATTGTAGAGACAGTATCACCAAACAAAATTTAACATCTCAGGCTATGCAAAATGTTGCAATTGATAAAACAATCTCATACACTCACTGAAATACCCTTTGTTGCAATCAGGCAATTTGGACTTCTTGATTTTTAACACTGTCATGTAAATTCATCTCTAAAGAAAATAACTTGCTTTATATTATACAAAAGTAAATGGCATTATAGACTGCCGCCAGGAACTGATGATAACCCAATCAAGGTAGAATATTGTTTTGCATGTATACCCTAAATGCTACGTTCCCCCCAAAAAAAGCCTTCTGTTTCTTCTTTGCTAACCCTGCTCCCAACTTTTTTTTTGAGTTTCAATTTTCTACAATGCTAAACGAACTATACTACTGAGTCTAGTGAAACTAAGTATGCATAATGTAATACTGCTTTAACCAATAATGATAGAATAGGAAGGGTGTTCAACCAAATGGATGAGATTAAAACATCTTATAAACATTATTCATAATCACCTTGGGGGGTTTCCGAATAAGATACATCATAGTCTTGCAGTTCAGCAAAAATGTATTCTCATTGTATGATAATGAATTTTTCTCTCCTTCGGCTGTTCCAATCTGCTTATCATACCCAGCTTCATTGAAGTAAGGCTTAGAGTTCAGTACTAACCCTTGCAGTGAAACTAGGACTTGAAGGATGCTCGAAGATTTTGGATCCCATACTTCATTTCCTCTGCCTGTCCATGTATTTAGAAGGCTAAGGCAAACCTTCCCTTCCTCATACAAATTAGGGTTAACACGCCAACCACCAGAATGATAGTATGCCGACTGCATCATTTGAGACCCAGACAAAGAACACAGAAAGACATGAGATATAACCATGTGGACTAAATTTATACAAATTGAATATGTGATTTATATCTAACTATCTTCCTTTTTTTCAGGGGTGGGAACATCATAAATTGGACAGAGGTGCAGCTTCAAAATAATATTCCTTACCGGTGGAACATCAGGGTACTCTGGCGGTAGGTGAAAATCAAAGAAAAAGAGCCCATCTTGGTAAGGGGTCCCATATGGCCCAACAATAACTGCTCTCAAGAGATCCATTCTATCTTCATAAACTCGTACATAGATTTCCTCTGTCAAAATGTTTCAATTGTTTACACTTACTGAAATGTGTGCATAGCACAGTACAAAACTTAGATGGCATCAAATAAATGAATCACTGACCAGGAAGGTTATTCTGCAGTATACTCCAATCTTGTTGCACCTTCTTAAACCATTTTCTGTTGTTACTCTGAAAGTGGATTGAAAATCATTTAGTGATCTTAGCAATGATGTAATAAAGGAAATTACATTTAAAAGACAGAAGCGAACATTTGAATGCATTTGTGTGCTCACCAACGTGTTTGATAATCCGACATGACCAACATAGTTGAACTTTGGTTTAGCTAAATATAAGCACCTAACGTACATTAATACTAATCTGTAATGATCATTTTGTCGATACTCAGGCAAGTGCATGCACATGTGTGTCTTGTTCAAAATTCATCAAAGGAAAATATAGTATATGATAAACATGGGAGTACCCATTCATCCTTTCCTTTCCTTACTTTTTTTCTTCAGATATTAAAAATAAGGCAGCAGCAGTACCTGTCCATTTGCACCAATAAAATAATGGTCTGAAGGATCTTTAGTAATGTCAAAATGTTTCAAACTGCAAGCATCATTGTCGCAACTTGCACCCGCATCTTCGTTCCTCAAGCTACATAGTGTCTCAGATGCTTCCAAAATTTCAGATGCTTCTGGAACAACTTCCTCATTTCTTCCACTCTTATTGTCCGAATTGTCACCATGAATGGCAATGCATTTCTGAGAACTAGACTCATCACTAACTAATGGTGATGTACATTCACTTTCACCTTTCGACTGCAAGTGAACAGGATCTACGTTCCTTTGGCCCCTTGAGAATATTCCAGAGGCGAGTCTGGTGACGAATCGAAATGCTGCTAGGGGAACAGAAAGTGCTGCAGCCCTACCAAAGTCATTCTCTCCACTCTCTTCTGCCTCAGAAGTAATGCTGCTTGATTTTTCCCTCTCAGTATCCTGTGCATCGTAATCTTGCATGATTAAAGAAATGGGCCAATAACTATAACCAAAATCTTTATTTGGTCAATATAATGTCTACCATAAAACAAATGTATTTATCCAAGGGAGAAACTGACCCAAAGGCCTTTTGAAAAGAGGAAAGAATAATTTCTTTCTATTATGACGAGTTTCACAATCACTCGTTCATCAAATATTAGACAACCATTTATATATAGATGCATTGCTAAGTATATGTGCATATAAAGGCAAGTAGAAAAAGCAGAAGGTCAAGACTGTGAAAACAGCCAAAATTTGCAAGTTGCAACATTGGGAACTTTTAGATTTCCAGATCCCAGATTTATTATTAATGAGTGGAAGCAACTTTTCGATATGGATCCTGATATAAGAACCACATGACAGTTTTTTCCTTGGGCTTCGTCTTGGAAACAACCAAGTACAAGGCTAATAACAACAGTACAGGTGAAAAGAAACAAACCTCTCTGGAATCCTCAAGGACTTCCATTTCATCATCATTAACAGTTTCCCAGCTTGCAGCGTCACTTATTTCACTCCCAGCAGCAATTGATTCATCATCATCATCTCGACCAACCACATAGATTGCTTGGGGTCCAACCTGGAAGTAAAGTAAATTATTGACAGTTAAAATGGATAAGCTGTACCACCAGACAGGAACAAGTGCTTAAAAAACATAAACTCCACAAAATTATACCAACCTCAATATTCATTTTGCATCTTAGGGACTGTATACCAAAAGGATAGATTTTAAAGAGTCTAATTCAAACATCAATTAATGTTGTGAAAGGAAAAGATAAAAAGATCCAAAACTCTTAAAGATAATTTGGCACAGAAAAGACCATTCAACTTGCTATCAAAGGGTTTTAGTAACCTCAGTAGCAAAAAGAACATGTCCTCAAGAATTTTTTACAGTCTCTGGCCTTTTAGTATGTGATTTAAGCCTATAGATATCAGACATTAATATAACTTATCCATTACAATGTAGGTGATCTAAAACCTTTCAGCCAAATATGACTATCAAGCTATGGTGGAATCCCAAATCTATAACTCCATCTTAATATTGTCTTCGTGACATAGGCAACAAAGGGACCTGGACTCAATAAGCTTAAGGATCAAATAACTCAATATAAAGTTTACTTGAGACATCAGGGCTCATTATAAAATTCAACAAGCATTTTTTGGAATTTTTATTTATCTAGTCGTTAGAATGTCTTAAAACATTTATTAGTTCTAGTTCTTTGTTTTAGGGTGTTTTGGTATTTTGTTGCTTTCTGCTCAATGCTTATAGGGAGTATATGGTCTTGGGTATCTTGAGGACTTATTATTATTAGGATATATTACGCTGGTAGATAAGAAAACATAGGCCCTAAATTTTGAACTTTCTTGATCCTCAAGTTTGAACGCTACCTATTTCAGTGATGTAGATACCTACAAACTAAGGTATGTAGGTTCTTTTTTTACTCCTTTCTCCTAATAATATTAGTTCAAACTTCTGCATTAAGTTTTGACAACTTTCATATTTAAATCATAATATCATATTGATTCAATTTAAACTTTGCTAGCCCAACAAGCATCCCAAAGCAAAACACTAATCTAATTGTCAAAGTTTCGCAAAAGTGTTCCTGCAATACTCTTCACAGTAACAGAAAGGACCCTTATATGATTGTAAGTAAACTCTATAAAGTTATTGCAACAAAAAAGCACATAGTAGAATATTATAGTCACTGAGATATATAACAGCCTGATTATGTCCTAGTCATGCAAATTTTAGAAACTTGACATTTCCACCAGACATTAACATAATTGAAGCAAATCTTCAGTTTCCATTGGCTGAAATAACATGTAAGGAGATTGCAAGTATAGTGTTGTATCAATGATATACATGTGAAAACTTCATATTAGTAAATATGCAGCATTTATGTTTTATCAACAGAATACGAATAAATAACAGGTAAAAATGAGAAAGTGAATATCCAAATGAACATACCGTTGACACCATCCCATCAGCCCAAGTAACTTCAATATCACCATTCTTAAGGCCAGTTATATTTCCAACCCAAGATAGGTCTGAGAACTCCACACAAGTTTCACCACCAGACACATTTTCTACTTTACTGTTACCTGTTTGGTTATTTGCTTCCTTTTTAATTCCACTTTCTTCATTTTTCTGCTTTGATTTCTCAATGGACTCTCCAACAAAAGCTGTTTCTAAACAAACAGACGCAGGTGACAGCCGAACAACCACATCCCCATAGCAGTAGTCATAATCTGGATGGCCCTCTAGCTCATACACACTTACAACTTCCTCATTGTCGAACTCTCGAGGATCTTCTGCTCTGGCAACTGTTTTTAACCACCTCACACAAGCTGTCCGCTCCTTGGCATTAACACTTTTCACCACCCCAACTCTCCTAGTTTCACAAATATCCTCACCATCATCAGCGGTCTTCTCCACCACGTATTGCTCCGAAACAAATTCATGATCACCAGGATTTTCGATAGGAATTAAACTTGTAGAATCCAGTTCACACTCTATTTTTCCATCCTGCCATGCAACATCAACCCTTGTCCTTGTGTTGGCAATCAAAAGAGCTTTCTCAAAACTTTCCTCTTTCTTTCGAGCCTTCTTTTCTTTCCTGATGACAACTTTCCTTATTTTCTTGCGGTGAAGAGGCCAAACTTCATGCACAGGGTCCTTTGATACAGAGAGAGAACTACCACATGAACTAGAATCACGTGAAGGATTGCTTCTATCATTTCCACAATTCCCTTCCAAAGCATCCACTGGATCAAGGTCCATAGCATTCTTATTCCCATTTGATTCCTCAACTGTAGCTTCTTCTGAGTCACACCCACTTCCTGTCTGATTAGAATCTAATTCATTGTTAATAGAATCATTAAGTTCCAATTTTGATATGCTTTTCTCCGTGGAAACTGAGGATGACAGTGCTGACGAGGGTAAGAGACACCAGTCGCCCAATTGCCAATTTGCATGAGCAAAACAAGACAACAATTTTAAGTTTTTGGGACTCTGCTCCTCAGCTGGGGCAGTAGAAGAATACGGTCCATAACCTGCGGAAGCTATCCAATAAACAAACACTGATCCAACTGTAACCTTAGTGACAGTACCTTCCAACCTATTTGCTTTCCACAAGCCAGACAGCCACCTTGAATTCTTGAAGACTGATGAAGAGCTAGCCCTTACACGTTGCCCTGGGTAATAAGGGAAATGACCATCTTCAAGAATATTCTTAGAAATTGGTTTAAGATTCAATGGATCTGCTTTGGAGACCTTACAAACTGAACCATCATCAAATAAGACAGTTACATTGTCCAAAACATCCTCAATTCTTCCTAGCCAGGGCCCAAGCACCACATAATCCCCAACAGTGAAATCCCTAATACGCTTTAGGTTTTTCGATGAGACCTCTTTTATTATAGATCCATCATGGGACAACAGATCCACACACATATTGACGTCAACGACTACACCCACTTGCCCAGTGGGGTCTGATGCGGAAGCAACAAAATCCCCATGTAAAAATCCACGATCAACAACTTCTACGTCACTGAAATTTTGGGTGGATTCAGATTCGTCCATCCAGAGTACACGCAGCTGGTCAGCCAGAAGAGCACCAGTTTTACAATCCCCAGCAGCACCATTCCTCTCGGAATTTCTGCTAGCATTATTACTGTCATCGCCTTCCTCAACATCACCATCCTCATCCTCACTATCATCCTCATCATCAGTGATGCTGCTATCTGAATCCGAATCCGAATCACCAGCAACTTCTGTCACAATCCCTATCATGCCACTGCTATTATTCTTCACAACATCTTGTCTATAGATATGTCGGATATTACTTTTCTTACAAGAAATACCACCAGGTTCATTAACTTCACTGCTTTCAGTATTTAAACTTGGATTGCTGTTAGCAGACACACTAGCAATATCACCCGGGTTAAAAGAATTACCGGAGCTAGCATTTTCAGCAGGCCCATTGTCTTCAGAGAGTTCTTGACGTCGCTGAACTCCCATCTAAAATCATAATATATCAATGTCATGAGATAGTCATTCTAATTTTGTTATTTACCTTGAATGCAGCAATTGAAACAATAAATAAATTATCAAAGGCAAGCTCTGCCCAAAATAAAATAGTTTTATCGTATCCATAGCTTTATGATTTTCTTAGTTGCCATGGGGAAAAATATGCCCTTTAACTAAATGATAATAAATGGAAATATTCAAAACACATTTGAATAAATTAGTTTCAAAATAACTTTAAGAGCTAAACTTGAAACAAAATGAAAGGAGGAAGAAAAAAAAAAGCCAGATGGCCATCAACTCTCATCTATAAGTTAACAAACAAAAGCCATAGTCATTCTGGATCTGAAATCACATACCAGAATCAAGAATAAACATGTTTTAGCTACCTATCGCAACCCAGTTTGCGAATTCAAATTTGTACGCACACGGTATCATCAATAAACCATTATAGTTCAATCAGACAGCATCGTAATTAACATTATCCGAAAAAAATAATCAAAATTTACATCAAAACACAGATTAATATACCCTAAGGTAGCTCAAACATTTAAAAGAAAAAACAACAGGCAAGTACAGACAATTTGATCGAAAATGAAAAGAAAAAAAGAAAAAGAAAGAACAAATAAAAAACGAATGAGCTAATTTTCAGGTTACATCGAAGCCTCGAAAGGTTAATCCTCTCATAAAACAAATTCGAAAATAGGTAAACAAAGACCGATATTAGCAATAAATAAAAAATTAAAAAAATAAAAAATTAAATCCATAGTTCTTGTTGGAACAAGAGAGCGAGATTCCAGGTATACCTTGCGAAAAAGAAGAACAAGATTGGGTATGAAAATGAAGACGACGACGAAGAAGAGGAAGAAGAAGAATATGCGAAAGAGTCTGCACAGAAGAATGAGTATTTCTTGCAGCTGCATAGGGGCAATTTCGTGATTCCACTTCTGTCCAATTGCTTCTCCTTCTATATCTAGCTAATCTGCTATATGGGTAACCCCATCAGGACCGTTTGTTTTGAAGACTAGATCAAAGATTTAGAGATTTCCTTCTTAATTAAATTAAATTAAGTATTTTCTTTTTATTATTTTAGAAGAAGGGTTCTTTTTTTAAAATTGGGTTGTTACTTTAATTAATGTCTTCATTTTAAGATGGGAATCGAATTTCGGCACGAAAAATAGGAATGGGACTAGAAAAAATAACTATAGACTAATATTGGTAGAAAAAATAACTCGTCAAAGAGGAAGAAAAAAAAAAAAAGACATAATACATTTTGTACCAATGAAAATGCTTTTTCGGGTCGTCCAAGTTTCGGATTTTTGAGAAGTGAGAACTCTTTCAAAAGTAGTCTTTCATCCGAAGATAGTGTCTGATTCTAATAGCTAACGTAAGGTATAAATTGATTTTGGTGAAAGTCATGCTTATTGCTTCATTTGTTGATTGAAGAATAATTCTTTTCCTCTTCAAATGCAATTCTAAATCGGTTTTTTTCTTCTTAATTAACACTTTCTATAATTAAGTTTTCCGTATTGTCACGCAAGGATTTTCTTTTTATTACAAAAAATTAAACATAAATTCTTTAAACTTTGACTTATTTGTAAATTGTCACTACAAAATTTGAAATCGCTTTAATAAATGTTTAAACTATATTAATCATATCAATGGATCATTTTATTCATTTGCTGTCATGTTGCTTGATTGGAAAAGTAAGGTGACAAATTTTTATCTAATTGAAATGTTATATGGGTTTTATAAAAATCATATTGTAGAAAAAATGATTGTGTTATGTTATAGATATTCGTTTTGCGTGTCATAGTTTTTTTTTTTAAAACATGCAGGTCTCACAAAATATTGTGTGTATAGAGAATTTTTTGTGATCATGTTAAATGATGAAGGCAAACAAACCCCTATAAATTATAAAAAGATAATAACAATAACGTCAAGTTAGCAGATTTACCCCCTTGCTCGTAGAATGGAAAGAACACTGTTTTCTATCAATGACATCCTTTTTGAGGCCTTAAATGGATTAAGCCGGTTTACAGGGGCGATGGTTTAGCTTATGTTAGGTCATATTTGACCTATTACAAATAGTTAAATAGAACAGATTCAGACTTTTAAAAAAAAAATATTTAGAAAATAAATCATAGGCTTTTTTTGTATATGTCGAGCGTATAAGCCTACAAGCCGATTTATATTATATTATTTATATTAAATAAAATAAATAAATTATTATTTTAATAATTTTAAATAATAAAGTAATATTATTTTAGTTATTTTTTAATTATTAAATTTTTAATAAGCCTAAGCCAAGACTTTTATTTTTTAAATACAGGTCAAGTCAGATTACTAATCTGGACCTACGCAAGCTAAAAGGCTAGGCCAATTCCAAAGATTTTTTCACAGACCTAACTTATTTAAGTTAAAGCTAAGCCTAACACAGCCTATTTACACCTCTACATCATATTTACACCTCTAGTGCCTCTTTACTTGTGACATTTTTGTAAAGGGGAACGTTTAACTACCTAACTTATTTCCTTTTCTCCTTTTACAATTATGTAATTCTTTTTCACTTTTTAGGTCAACGGATAATTTTTGAAAAAAATATATATTATATATAATTTTAATATATAGGAGAAGGATCCGTTTATAAATTTTTTTTACAAATTACACTAAATATGATCGGACATATACTTTTAATTAGTATATGACCGGTCAAATATAATGTAATTTATAAGAGTTTGTAAAAAAAAATTTTGTAAATATAATCTAGGGATAGGATATTGTGACACACAAATAATGTTACGCACAATGTTACGACCACATCTTAACCGTTGATTTCCGCCAATCAACGGTTTTATCATTTATTGTGAATTAATAATTAATTAATGAGTTTGATTTGAAAAATGATAACCGTTGATTGACGGAAATCAACGGTTAAGATGTGGTCGTAACATTGTGCGTAATATTACTTGTGTGTCACAATATCATATCCCTATAAGTTATTCTTATCTTTAATATGTCACGCGGGGGTGTTTCGGATTTATTCTTATTTTTAATATGTCACGCGGGGGTGTTCAAAAAATCCGAAACATCCAAACTGAATTGTAACCGAACCGCTCCATTTGTAAAAAAACTGGTTTTTCTAAAATTCGTTTTATGTTAAACCACTTTTTATTTTTTAAAGCAATTCGGTAACCGATCCATAAAAACAAACTGGATATCCACATTTTATCCTTTTGATCTTTTTTTACTTAATTTGAAGTTTTGTTTCATCTTTCATTTAGAATCTGAATCTGAAGTATTATTTTAAAAACTGGATATCCACATAATAGTTCAACTCAGACCTCCTCTTCACTCGACGCCACCGCCAAACCCTCCACCGAGTCGTCGTGTCACCTAACTAAGCCATGTTCCGTCAAATCCACCATTTTTATTCCCCTCCGAGATTGTCACGTCACACATTGTTTTTTTACCTTGGTTTTGATGGTTCTTCCATCAGCAAGATGAACTATCTTAGAGAAGCCAGATTACTCAATAGCAACAATCTTTGACAAGTACCTGATGGTGCCGCTTGGAAGCTCGTTGGCAAGGACTTCCACCATTAACTGCCTTCTAACACAACGAACTTCACATGCTCCATTGCATTGCATCACATCAAAAGCCTCATTGTCATACCAAGAATTCAAGAATTTTAATATCAAAATTAAGAACTTTATCCTTATACAGTGTACTTACTGTTTTCTTGTGCCTTTGAAAAGACAAGGATGACATTCGTGTATTCAAATTTGTGTACTTCAATTTCAGGCTCTTACTTTCACGGTTTTCAAGCAAATTAGCTTGTTTTTTATCTTTTCAATTAAGAATATACAAAGACCAGAGGATTTCGGAAGATTAGAATCCAACTTAAAAGAAAGCATTTATTCATTTGAAACTTCAAACGTTCGTTTTTGAGCCCGTTTGGATATGATTTTTTTTTAAGCACTTCTCAAAAAATGTTTGGACGCCTTTTTTTTAAAAAAAATCAGAAGTAATAAAATAAATCAAAAATCTGTTTTTTTTTTAAGCTACAAATATTAGCTTCTAAAAAAATAGAAATTAAAAATCAAATATTTTTTTAAAAATCAACTTTTAAAAAAAATTTAAATAACATTAAAATGCTTCTAAAATAATAATTTCTTTATGATGGGATTGAGCGCAAAGGACCAAACAGTCACACGGTTGAACTGAGGGAGGGGTGTCTGATAGAGGAGATATTTTTTTTACCAGATAAATGCAATTATTAGTAATATGGTAGGAAAGTGAGTTTGATAGAAAAGTTAAAAATAAAGTTGTTTGGTTGGTCAAAATTATACTAGAAAGATTGGGTTAAATTTTGTGAGTCTTTGTTTGGTTAAAGGTGAAATAATGATGAGTAAATATGTTGAAATACCAAAAATAACCCTTGATATTTCAGAGATGTAGACATGTGTACTTAGAAGAAGGTAATATGGTGACCTCCTCGTTCACTTTTTTGCAGTTTAGCTAGTTTTCTAAGAATACCACGTTCAAAGTAGTAAAGTTCTATAATGATTTGCTTTTGATTTTGAACACGTCAAAGGCCGGGGGAAAGAGAAGCATAGCAAAAAAAAATTAATCTTTCTACCAAACAAAGCTATCATGGAATGGCAATTCAAGATAGACGGGAAACCAAACCAAAAACCTGAACCAAACGCCCTCGAATTGAATCTACGTGTGATTCACCAAATCTATTCTCATTTTAAAAAATAAAAATAAAATAAAAACAGAAATAGTATATGAAAAAATAAAAGACCAATGTTCAAAAAAACAATGGAGTGTTCATAGTCTGGATTGGATCAACTTTGAAGTAATAATTATCCAATCTAATCATTTTGATTTGATTATTTAATCATCAATTTGGTTTGAATTTTTTTAAAATTCGATTCAATCCAATTCAATTTTATTCGGTTTGAATTATATTAGTTTTTGATTTTTCAAAAAGACTAAAATTTAAGTCATACAAATCACTAACTATATAAAAAAAAGCAATTTAAAGTTACAAACCACTAGAAAATTTAAGTCTTCAAACTAAAACAAGTCTAAAAACTCGTCAAGAGTTAAAATAGATTACTAAACAATAAAAAAACTAAAACAAGATAATTTGTTATTAATAACATCCAAAATTCCAAGTCTACAAAACAACAAGATTTCAAGTCATCATCTTTCGAAAATAATAAATACATAATACTTTGATTGGATCGGTTTTTACCAACCAAATCGAAAACCGATCCAATTCAATTAAAATATGCGATTTTTTTTCGGTTTTTGATTTTTCTATTTTCGATTAATTCAGTTATCAGTTTTTTGATTCGGTTGATGAACACCCTATAAACAAGTATCGCAACTTAATTCTCTGAAGAATTTCTCTAATCTTGCATTCCGTAAAAAATTAAAAAATTAACGTTACTCTTGACTAAATTAATATTAAAATTCTATGAAAAAATGATAATATTTTAATCTTCTTTACCTCAATCATCTATTCTTCTTCTTTTCCAGTTCTTGTTCCCTTATTATATTTTAATAACTCAACAATAAAAGTCTCTACCAAACAAAAAATGATATATTTACTCATTTAGCTGCACATGTTGCTGGCGAAGGATGTCTCCGACGCCAACAGCATCCAAGGCTTTCCAAGCATTTGTCCATGTTGTTAAAGCAAAGCCAGTGACCCTTAAACTATGTGAAGATTCTAATACCAAACTTCGGACACCCAACCTGCAAGCATGTATATATCACTGTCAAATACTTAGCTTAAATTAAATTAGTAAACATGTGCATTAATACTGCAGCGTTTTACATTTGAAAGACTGATTATACTAGGAACAAGCACAAATATGCTAGGACGTAATAAGAATAAGGATATACAACAATTTTCAAAAAATTATATGACATTATACAACTATATATAGTACAACTCGTAAAATTAATATGAATACAAAAAATACAAATATTAAACAAAAAGAAAGAATTAATTAATATTTTAAAAACAAGTAATTATTTATGTAATTATTGTGAGAGATGTTATACTTATCATCTCTTTTTGTTTTACAATTTCTTATACCATTATTTTCAATATTATAGTTTGATCAAAATCAAATCAATGATTATAAAAAAATTGACATCAAGTAAACCTAGTTGATTTGATTTAGATTTAATAATAATAAGTAGTTATAAAGGATGGTAAGGAAAAAAAATTAGTAATTATAACCTACCTCTATTATAGCAATTTTTTACTTATATTGGTATAAAAATTTAGGAAGATAAAAGTAAAATTTTACAATGTAAAGAATAGAAGTGTGACAGAGTTGCGTGTTTAATATGCATGAGATTCCAATTAGTGAGAGAGACAGTAAAGAGGTACCTGTGAAGTCCCAAGGATGTTGTGAGGCCAGCCCTGTATTTGGCATTCACGAAAGGTCGCTTATTTATTTTTTGCATTTAGCTAAGTAGCATCATTGATTAATTGTGATTGGACCTTGAGTCCTTGATTATATTCTTATATATGCAACTTTACTAAAAAAACATAAATAATGGTGAGAAAAAAAAAAAATCTTAGCATAAAAAATATAACAAGGACGGACCACAAGGACATTAACATGGCAAGATAAAAGGCAACAATAAAGGACTAAGCATAATATTACGTCTCTAAGAGCTATTTAGTTTTCCACAATCGAAATCTGACTTCTTCAAATAAATACTAGCTAGGAATGAAGCCAAAATTTTGTCCCTCAAAAAGGTAACCAATTTTGAATCACTCTGCTGAATAGAACCCAAAATATAAGATGAACTAATGAGATCAATGCTTCTCCATCTTCTCTCGTTTGCATATTTCTTCAAGCCTTCCTCAATCCTCTTATATTGGTCTTCTTCTTCTTCTTCTTCCTTCTCTTTGATATGTCTCATTGGCTTTTTGGAGAAGGCCTCAGCTATGCACCTGGCTAAAACAACCCCATCTTCCAAGGCACTACACCCACCCTGGCCAAGATCAGGTGTCATGGGATGGAAAGCATCTCCAGCAACACAAACATTGCCTTTACTAATATTTCCAAACATGATCTCCCAGGGATGTCTGTATCTCAATGGAACTGATAGGAAACCATCTAGTTCAGTTTTTTCTATGAAGGATCTAACATCACTTGACATCTTCTCAAGATTGTGTAACACAAATTGTTTCAGTTTAGCAGGGTTGTCCTCTAGCTTTTTGTCTGTAAATGGTTAACATATGCTAAATGTCACAAGCTAATGAGCATAGTGAATGAATGCTAATTTTACCAATTCCAAAATCATAAACTTCTTATCATGAAGGAAACCCTTTATAGAAGAACCTAATCAAACCAGGTCTGGGCTGAAACAAAGAATTCACCTTGGACATACCAAAAAAAAAAATTTAATTCACCTTGGCTGGTGGGAGTCCAAGTGAAAAACCAGTAAACGGACTTCTCATCACAAGGAATAGCACCAGATCGAAGACCTTTGCCAAAGAACTGCATGAACCTGGGCCCAAACTCGTGGTTGTTCTTCGACTCTGCCCAACCCCTGACTGCATATCTCCTTGTAAAAGAGGCCTCCTTGAAGCCTAGCCACTTTGCCACCACAGAGTTTATTCCATCACACCCAATCAATACCTTTTCAGTAGCAAAAATCCATGTATCAGTTAAGGTTTACTAACTTGGATTCACAATAGAAGTTGTTTGCTTCTAATAAATGAACTTCATTCCATGGAGGAGGAGAAGTATCTTTTCTTATTTCATATGTCATGTCACAAATATTGTTTACCTTGGTTTTGATGGTTGTTCCATCAGCAAGATGAATTATCTTAGAGAAGCCAGATTCCTCAATAGCAACCACCTTTGACAAGTACCTCATGGTACCACTTGGAAGCTCATTGGCAAGGGCTTCCAACATTAATCGCCTGCTAACACAGCGAACTTCACAGCCTCCACTGCTTCACATAAAAACAACCATCATGACAAGAATTTCAGATCATATTTAAGTACCTTGGCCTCTACAAACTAGAAGCAACCCACTGAAGTAGACAAAACTGAATAATATAAGATGTGGAATCAACCATGCATGTTCTTTTTAACCTCAATTGGAATGTTGTGACACACCAATTAATTCTTGTACTTCATCCTTTCCCAAATATAGCAGCTAAGGCATAGGGAATACTTACTGCTTTCCTTTGTCCCTGAAAGAAGTAGTTGATGTTTGTTGACCCGTAACCAAAGAAGTAGTATCATTCCTGCACTCCAATTGGAATTGTTTAGTTTCAGGATCATACTCCAACTAGTATAGTTTTCATTTTTTTTTCACCTTCTGTTCAATTTTTTGTACCATAGATATTAAACTGGGCACACAACACTTACAAACGACTACACACCTTGTACTAAGTGATTCTTTGGATTGGCATCTTAGCTTCCAAAATAATTGGTTCTATATTCTATAATTAATTTTGTGATAATTGATTTTTACAAGAAGCAATTTTTTTTGTTTCGTCAATAAAAAAAATTATTCTAAATATAGGACTTGTGCAATTTCAAAACATATATTATATTAATATCTTAAAATTAATTTTATTTTACTCAATATCAATATCAAAACACCTTTATCTCAAATAAATTAGATCAGCAGTAGATGAATCCAAATGAAAACTACGAAGAGATTGAAGAAGAGATTGAAAATAAATGAATTTAAGTATATATATATATATATATATATATAGATAAAAGTATTCTTATTTTACTATTAAATAAAAAAATTTCAAACTAAATTTTAAAATATTATTCTTAAAAACAGATCGATTGTTATGAAAACAATTTAACTAAAATCTAAATAAGACCTAAGAAAAAGAGATGAAACCCTTAGCAACTCCAAAAAAGAGAGAGTAAGATATACGTTACCCAAAAAGCTGTACATGTTGCTGGCGGAGGATGTCTCCAACACCAACAGCATCCAAGGCCTTCCAAGCATTTTTCCATGCTGTTAATGCAAATCCAGTGCCCCTCAAAGCATCTGAAGATTCTAGTACCAAACTTGGGATACCCAATCTATGAGCAAGAGCATCACTATCAAATAATAGCTTACTTTACATTAATAATCATAATCAAGGACAAATACTACACACACTATTCAACAGAGAATTGAAGAAGTACCTGTGAAGTCCTAAGGAAGTAGTAAGGCCAGCAATACCAGCACCCACAATCACAATGTCTTCAACTACTTTTGTTTCCATTACTATATGATCCTTCTAAGCCTTACCTTGATGTGTTGTCTCCTCTAGAAGGGAGAGCAATCCTTCTAGTATTCTTTTTCTTTTCTTTTTTTGTTTAATAATAAGAATATTAAATATTAGGATTTAGTGGCCACAAGATTTAGGTAATTTAAGTGCTTCACGCCTTTTCGGTAGAGCACAAACAAAAGTTTATATAGAAACAAACGGTACGTGGACCAAATATCTTTTTTTGTCAATTTTTTTATCCAAATTATCATGGCTAATAGTATTTTTTATCATATTGTTACGCGTTGAAGTTCGTTACGTCTGGTAACAAATTTCATCACTTATGCTTTTGTGATATGTGGTCATATTATGTACCAAATTTGCTATCATTGATAACAAACTTAGTCCAATCATTTTTTTTCTGTGAAAGTACATCACATATCACAAAATTATTTACAAACGAAATTTGCTATCAATTATAACAAATTAAGTCACGTTAAAGTTTTATAAAAAATAGTGTTCAATTAATATTTGAATAAAAAAGTTACCATGGCATTTTCCGATACAAACATGATGGCCATTGGCCAGTTGGCCACAGTCCACAATTCTTATCATAGGAGGTGCCATAATTCAATTTGATGACGACAGGCCATACGTATATATCTTCCTAAAATGCACTAACTTTTTTCTTTTTTCATTTTCCTTTCTCAAAGGTACAAATAATTTTACCTAAGCAGAGAGAGAAATAGCTCAACTCACAAATTGAATTTTGAGTTCGATATATTTCATCAATATCGAAAAATAGCTTCTGTACTTAAAATAAAAATAAAAAAAATAAAAATAGCTCATGTGTGATTAGAGGTAAGGTAACACATGGTACAATCTCATTCCACTATTTTTTTAATTTAAAAAAATAATTTACAAGTTATTTTTTTTGCCGTCTTAATAAAAAATGTCTGATTTAATAATAAAAAAACAGCCTACTATTTTTTTTAATTATCTAAATAAATAAAAGACTCATATAGAACTATGTAATAAGCTATGCATGTGCAACTGAATTATTAACATATAAAACTAAGGTCTCTCAAAGGATCTCATAAAGAGTTCATCATCAATAAAAGGGTCAACTTCTTTATGGTGAACTGATAAAATAATAAATCGCATAGATTTTTTTTATTTATTTACAATTCCCTTTAAAATACTCATATAGAGCTCTGCCAGGGTTTTGACCGTAATAGTTTCTTTTTCAAAAAAATTGGCCGAATTAAGTTTTCGGTAAAACTTATTATCATAATAATGCATAACAACACGAAACATCATCGCGATAAGTCACGGCACAATAACAACCGCGTTACACTCAAATTTACCAAACCAAGACCATCTCAATCAGAGTCACAATTATTGCACAAAGACACGGTAGGATGTGTACTGCGTCTACTGTCCACGTAGTGTACAGCTTTGGGAAAACATAAAATTTTAATGAGAAATACCATTATATAAAAGCTCCACGTTATGTATTATTACGGTAATAAGTTTGACCGAAGCTTAATCCGGTCAAATTTTTTAAAAAGAATTTGTATTACTACGGTCAAAACCTCAGCTCTGCCAGTTGTGTATTAAAAACAAGTGAGAAACCTTATCAACAATCTCCTCGAGTTGATTCACTGGCTTTTTGACCTTAGTAGGTTGATTTTGATAAGGTTTTATCGGAATAATTTCTTGATCAAAAGTATTAATTATATAATGCATAACGACGTGGTATCATGGGAATCACGTTAAGACGTGACACTTTAGCAACCGCGTCCTTTGTATTTGTTCCTGACGACTGGAACGTGATACCCTGGCAATCACGTCTTATTCCCAAGACTACTGGAACGTGATACCTTGGCAATCACGTCCTATTCCCAAGACGCGATACACTCTCAGCCGCGTGTCAGTGCGTCCCATCCCAAAAAGAATTCAACAGGAAGCAGTAGTGTATAAGTCGCGTTCCAGGTTACAAGTCAAGTCAGAGTCAAACATATATATATATTTCACCTAAAATTTAGACATATTGATATATTCACGGTAAAAGAGTTCCAAAAATCTAATAAAAGCAACAAGTTATTCACTTACACACTCACTCATACGAAAGCCCTTTGGGTTTGAAGTATGAATTTTGCATAGATTCTATTTTTTTGTTTACCTTAATATAAATCATTAAAAAAAACTCTCACTCATCACGTTAAAATTTTGGATTAAATTGTTTCTTTCACATATTGGAAATCGGGAAAGCAGACCAAACACAAAACAGGGGTATAAGATTGGGTACTATTTGATTTATTGGATTTTATGAACTCTTTTACAATGAATATATCAATATGCCTACATTTTAGGTAAAACATATATATGTGCTTGACTCCGACTTGACTTGTAACTTGGAACGCAGCATATACACTACCGCTTTCTATTGAATTTTTTTTGGGATGGGACGCACTGACACGCGGCTGAGAGTGTACCGCGTCTTGAGAATAGGACGTGATTGTCAGGGTATCACGTTCCAGTAGTCTTGGGAATAGGACGTGATTGCCAGGGTATCACGTTCCAGTCGTCAGGAACAAATGCAAAGAACGCGGTTGCTAAAGTGCCACGTCAACGTGATTCCTATGGTACCGCGTCGTTATGCATTATATAGGTAATACTTTTGATCAAGAAATTATTCCGATAAAACCTTATAAAAATCAACCTACTAAGGTCAAAAAGCCTGATTCACTCATCAAAATACGTATCATGAGAATGTCAAAGACGCAGATACACAGACGTAAAAACATGTAAATAAATGTTCATGGTTTTTCTTTTTTCATTTCTCTAGTGTAAATTTGATGTGCTGCAAAACTATACATATTTTGTAGTCTTATTTATTAGAAATATTTACTTCTTATTTTATTTTAGTTGATTATATTTATATTTGAATAAACTAGTATTCCTTATCTATTTTATGTTTAGGGAAAATCATTCGACCTTAAGTTACATCTTTTTAATTTTTAACACTATTATTACGAGTAGTATATAGTTATAATATGAAGGAAAAAAAAAGTCTCTCTCCTCAGTCACTTCTGGCGTATAGAATGAAAAAAAAAAAACTTTTCATATTATAACTATATACTACCTGTAATATATAGTGTAAAAAATTAAAAGGACATAACTTGTGTCCTCTAAAGGACACACACTAAATTCTTATATTTAAGTTTTCACACATATTTTAAAGGTTTTGAATAAATATTAAACATATTTTGAAGCAAAAAAAAGAAAGAAATTTTATTTAAACAAAGTCTTATCTAAATCTCTAAGTTTATAAAGAGAATCAAACAAACTTTATTCTTATTCAAGCTTTGACAAGGCAAGATGAAATGCAACAATAAAGGACTAAGCATTTTACAAGATAATTACTCTTTAAGAGCTATTTAGTTTTCCACAATCAAAATCTGACTTCTTCAACAGCATACCAGCTAGGAATGCAGCGAAAACTTTGTCCCTCAAAAAGGTAACAAATTTTGAATCACTCTGCTGAAGAGTACCTATAATATAGGCAGTAGTAATAAGATCAATGCCTCTCCACCTTCTTTCCTTTGCATATTTCTTCAAGGCTTCCTCAATCCTCTTGTATTGGTCCTCTTCTTTTTCTTCTTCTTCCTTCTCTTTCATATGTTTCGCTGGCTTTTTGGAGAAGGCCTCAGCCAGGCACCTGGCTAAAACAACCCCATCTTCCAAAGCACTACATCCACCCTGGCCAAGATCAGGAGTCATGGGGTGAAAAGCATCTCCAGCAACACAAACATTGCCTTTACTAATATTTCCAAACATGATCTCCCAGGGATGTCTATATCTCAATGGAGCTAATAGGAAACTATCTAATTCAGTTTTTTCTACGAAGGACCTATCATCACTTTGCATCTTCTCAAGCTTGTTTAACACAAATTGTTTCAGTTTAGCAGGGTCCTCTCCTAGCTCTTTATCTGCAACAAGAAGCCAAGGGGACTAGTAAATGTGACAATGGTAAGCATATATGTTAAATGTCATAGGCTAATATGATCACAATGCATAACACAAGCTTGCAAGCATATATTAGCACCAAAAATAAATAAATGAAAATTGAATTCACCTTGGTTGGTGGGAGTCCAAGTGAAAAACCAGAAAAGGGTCTTCTCATCACAAGGCATAGAACCAAATCGCAAACCTTTGCCAAAGAACTGCCTCAAATTGGGCTCAAGCCGGTGGTTGATATTCAACTCTGCGCTACCCCTGATTGCACATCTCCCTGTAGGAGAGGGCTCCTTGAAGCCTAGCCACTTTGCCACCCGGGAGTGTACTCCATCACACCCAATCAATACCTTTTCAGTTGCAAACATCCTTGTATCAGTTAAGTTTTTACTGATATATATATATATATATATATATATATATATATATATTGATTCATAATAGAAGCTGTTTTCTTCTTATAAATGAACTTCATTCCATGAAGGGGTAAAATTATCTTTGGTTATTTCATAAGTCATGTCACACATATTTTTTTACCTTGGTTTTGATGGTTGTACCATCAGCAAGATGGAGTATCTTAGAGAAGCCAGATTCCTCAATAGAAACCACCTTTGACAAGAACCTGATGGTGCCACTTGGAAGCTCATTGGCAAGGGCTTCCAACATTAACCGCCTTCTTACACAACGAACTTCACCAACTCCACTGCATCACATAAAAACACCCATCATAGCAACAATTTCAGATCATATTTGAGTACCTTGGCCTCTACACACTGAAAGTAACCCACTGAAGTATATAATGTACGGAAAGAAACAATAGGAGCTAAGGCACATAGGGTGAACATTATCCATATACAGAGTACTTACTTCTTTCCTTTATCCATGAAAGACGTACTTGATGTTTGCTGCCCCGTAATCAAAGAAGTAGTCACACTCCTGTACACCAATTAGTTTAGTTTTCAAATTTTTTTTTTTTCATGTTCTGATTAATTAAGAATATATCAAGAATGAATTGAAGACACATGGATTTGGTGAAAATCAGAAACCCATTTGAAAACAAAGCAATTATTAAATTGAAACTTAGAACATTTGGTTCTTGAATTAATTATGATAGCAGTTCAAAGGACCACATCACTCATAGTGTGAAAGTGACTGAAGCGGGCGACAGTGACATATAAATAAATTAATGAAAAATACTTACCCACAAAGCTGGTCATGTTGGTGGCGAAGGATGTCTCCAACACCAAGAGTATCCAAGGCCATCCAAGCATTTTTCCATTGCGAGAATGCAAATCCAGTGCCTCTCAAAGTATCTGCAGATTCTAATACCAAACTTGGGATACCCAACCTGCCAGCAAGAATATATAACTATCAAATACTTGCTTAATTTACATTAAAAATCATATGAATAAATAATGAAAAAAGGTGTGTCATTTTAAATGACACACCTCTCAACAAAAAGATGAAATTCACTAAAAAAAAATAAAGATGAAAAAAGTAAAAGTGTGAAATTATACTTTTTTATTAATGTAAAATAATACAAGATATGTCATTTAAAATTACACCTTTTTTCCATAAATAATATTGTCTATATAGAGAGAGATGAAGAGGCACCTGTGAAGTCCTAAGGATGTAGCAAGGCCAGCAATTCCAGCACCAACAATCACAATATTTGTTTCCATTGCCTTTATGAATGAGTTGTCTCCTGTGGAAAGGCTATCAATCCTTCTAGTTTTATTGATCTAATGGCCAGAAGCGTTAGGTAATTGTAGTGCTTCGGGGAAGAGCGCATACAAAAGTTTATATATATTGGAGTGAGTGAGACAAAGATGATGACCACAGTCCACAATGCTTATCATAGGAGGTGCCGCAATTCAATTGGACGAGGACAGGCCATCCGTTTTGTATATATCGGTGAATATACAAAAGTTTATGTAGTTAGACAAAGATGATAACGTTAATAAGATGCCATAACTCAATTTGATGACGACAGATCATACGTAAAATGATAACCATAATTCAATTTGATGACGACAGGCCATACGTAAAATGCACTAACTCTCTTTCTATGTTATTTTATTTCTCAAGGATCCAAATAATTGATTCGAGGCGGTTCACATGAAACCGCCTCCAAATATAAACTAGAAGTGGTTACACTAACCGTCTATATTTATCATTTAGAGGCGGTTACATTAAAACTACCTCTAATTGCTATCTTTAGAGGCGGTTAAACCATAACCACCTCCAAATATATATTAGACGCAGTTAAAATAACCATTCTCGTTGACCATTTAGAGGCGATTTTAATATAACCGCCTCTGAATGGTAAATAGAGGCGGTTATTAACCGCCTCTAGTACACATTTGGAGGCGATTTCATTTGAACCGCCTCAAAATATATACTAAAGGTGGATAAAATAACCGTCTCCAAAGTATATTTAGAGACGGTTCATGGTGTATCGGACAGCGACATTCAAAGAGGAAAATCTCTTTGTTCTGCCGTTTGATCGTTCTCAAATTTGATTAGTGTGTTCTTCTCTTGTAATACTTTAATCTGACCGTTTAGATTTTTAATTTGAATTATCTGATGTTATATATAAATTTTCAAAGATGACTCTTACACATTGAAAAAAACCATCTCACCTTCACTTTGAAGTCCCACATTGGATGACACTTGTTTCTCCTTCTCCATTCCCTTCTATATAACTAGTATATTACCCGTGCGATGCACGGAGAAAAAAGATCAAAAAATTTGTCGTCGACCGTGATTGGTTAATCGCACTACAAATTTTATACTTACAAAAATCTGTGTTGCTATTTTGTTCTATATTTCAGGTGAAAAAAATTACATCATTGACACAGAACTTTGCAAATATCAACCACAAAAAAAATGCTATTTAGAGAGATAATTAATTTTGCATACAACTACATCATAATACACCATAATACGCTATAATACATCATGTTAACATGAGGAAGGGATATAAAAAAATGCATACAAATCAGTGCTAACTATAACATTCATCAACAAAATCAAGGTAACAATAACACCAAGCAAATATGGATTTAAAAGATCATCTTTTACCTATAATATAAAAACGCAATTCATTCAGTATCATTTTGTAGCAATCATTGGAGGGATGAGTTCAACACTTACTAAATATTTCATTTACTACAATTAGGTTTATAAAATAAAAATAAATAATTATTTTTTTGCAAGGATTAGTGTCGTTAGTCTTTGGAATTTCACAAATTTGTATTTCCAAAATTTGAAATCAGATTTAGTAATTTAATTATAAAAGAAGAAGGATAAAATTTCAATTGAATTATAAATATATATATTGGCGGGTCAGCCCGGCCTCTAACTTTCAGCATTTTATATAAATAAATTTTTTTGACAGATGGTCCCCAAATTAAGCTTTTAATTATATTGGACAATTTCCAAAACCATTATTCCTCAAATTAAGCAACGGTTTAATGACAGATGGTCCCCAAATTAAGCTTTTAATTATATTGGACGATTTCCAAAACCATTATTCCTCAAATTAAGCAACAGTCATTAAACCTGAGATCTAATTAATTTCTACGTTGAGTAAACAGTAGATTAGATGCAGCGTTTTGATGACAGATGGTCCCCAATACACCATCGTTCCAAATTCAAATTTAAATTCAGAAAATGACAATGTAGAAAGAAAAGAAACAAAAAGAAATAACCTGTTAAGATTTGTTGACATATAAATTTCCAAAACGATATGCTATCAGTTGTTAGTATGTGTTTTTTGAATTATTCAATGAGTCGGATTATAATTTTTGTTTACTTAGTCTTTGTTTGAGTAAAATCGAACTTGTAGAATTAAACTTTTAAAAGACGAACCAAAACATAATCAAAGATTGGATTAATCATTTGATTATTAACATTTATTGCACAACATGTAACACTACAATTTTTGCTTTTAATATTAATTAACGTTGTTATTAATACGGGAAGATATAACTAATTTTTCAGCAGCAAGAGAGTACTATTTTTTTCGCTAGAAGTTTTGAATCAATGTTAAAAAAAAACAGTAGGAGAGTACTGGGATGAAAATTCTGTTGTGGACCTGTACTTCTCCCTTTTTAAGTTTAGCTATAATCCTCAAAATGACAACACAAGATACCATTAAGGTTTCATTGAAGCCCAACATCATGAGGCAACATATCACATTGGAAGTTCACCACAAGCAACATACATCATTCTTATAACAGTTTACCTCCAGCACAATATCTATCAAAAGAAACTCCTAGTTCTTCTTTCTATTGTGTGGCGGTTCACATACATCCAGAGGGCAATTTATCTACTAAGTCAGCCATATTACAAAATATCTCCTAATCATATAGCCACATATATCACAACTACACAAATTCATCAAAATAAAACATATTTTTCAAAATACAACATGCTTCAAATTATACTTCATGTGATAGTTCCCACAAGTGCACAACATCCATAACCACATAACAGCCCTATTCTTGCCTATTGCATCCTTCAATGGCCTCGCCTTTGTCATTTTTTTCTCCTGCTATAGCAGCCCTAAAAAGGGTGAGATTTTTAATGTCAATAACCCATGGAATTCTTGAGGTCTTTCCCTCAACAACTCGGATTCTTCTCTGCCTAAGTGCCTAAGAAAATATTGGCAATATATGAACAAAAGAAAAGATATAAAGCTTCCCTAATGACATTATAACAGTTAATAAACAAACATATATGCATCATTCTCTTCTCATTACACCTCCATGAGCCTCTCTTGCTCAAAGTAAGACATCTCCTAAGAGGTGTTTCTCATCTCTTTACCTGGCCAAGGACGTATAAGTACTTTGCGCAGCATATATTCATTCTCTTAGCTGATCTTATACTTTTCTCATATCAGCTTTTAGAGATGCACACTTGGCAGCCAATCTCAAAGCATAACAATCAACTATTATTGCTAAATCAGTCATTTATACATTAGGAGACATACATTCACTGTTAATGCCTTAATAGGTACCAATCACAGATTTTTATATGCAGAAATTAAGAATAAACAGAGGCCATTACCATATCAACAATTCACCATATTCATACATGTATGTAATAAGTACTGAAAAAAAAACACTTCATCAAGAACATTTCATTTCTATGCAACAACTCTTCCACGGTTTCAAAGGCTCTCTTTATAGCCTTCTTTCAGACCCACTCCAGTTTTATGATTCCAAAATTGAATACCCAACCTACAGCCTATTCTTGCACTTAAGTTAAAGAGGTTCTAGTTTTCCTTCAAAAGAAAAAGAAGTGGAGTTCAACAGCGTTCATCAATATACCAAATTAGATAGGAAATGTACATCACATTTTATCATCAATATACCTATTGAAAAAAAAAAATCGAATAAAAAACATAATACAGAAGTAAAAAATAAAAAATGTTTCTTTAAAAAAAACATACCCCTAAAACATTTTATCCTTCCCAGTTGAACTATTATGATGTTATGAGGAGTGTCGTTGTTTGCCAAAAAAGATTGCATCTCATCCACATAATGCTCCCACAAAGTGCACTTCAGCTTGTGACCTCTATATATGAGTTGCAGCAAGTAAAACGTTATACACGAAATATATAATATATAAGGTAATAGACGACAACAATTTTTTTTTTACTCTAACATTTTAAATACCTCAGGTTGTCAAGCTCCAACAACACCATTTTTGTCTTCCTACCAGACACCACACTTTCACAAACTTCACCAATTCCTGAGATTAAACCATTGACGTCTACAAAAAAAAAGAGGGCAGCAAAGAGTTTGTAAAAAAATGGAAAAATAAAAGAATGAAAAACAGTGAGGAAAAATATATTACCCACTCCAATGAGTAAATATTTACCTCTTGTGCTGTCCAATCACCCTTAGCGCGCCTTATAGGTCCAGTGGTCCTTCTGTACAGAAAATATTCATACATTGAAAATCAATACATAGAGATCATAACACAGATACAAAATGGATAAGTTCTCCATAGTATAAAGGGAATCAGCTGCTATTTCAGAATGTGAAACTATGCCAATAATAGATAGGCATAAAACACCGCCCTCAAGGTAACAACATCATGATAATTCATGACTAATACTGCAATGAAAAAGTAAAGAACTAAATGTATGTTACCGACAAAATTAATGATAAGGACATAATAAATTTTATGTTATGAAAAAAGTATTATATTTAACCTTAACAAAATTATAATACAATTAATTTTTTAAATATATAAATACATTAATTTTATTCCTAAGATGCATTGTATTTTAGAGAAACAATTACATCCAATTTCCATTTTGTACTCTATGGAAAGGTAAATAAATGTAGGGGTTTATTGCTCTCTGTGACAGAAATGATCATTTTTCTTCGGCAAAAACAAAAAACAGTGGAGCCCACCTAAACATAAAAGCAAAAAAATAAAAAGAAGATGCACAATTTTTTATGGTGAGAGCAGGAGACAAATTACATTTTCTACAACTGGAGACTATGATTTTCCATAAATGTAATACTTGTTTTGAAAAATAGAGAGAGAGGGAGAGCAAAGAAAATGGTACTTAATACTGTAGCACCTCAGATTCCTCCAGATTTTGAAAGTTGCTTTAAAGCATTAGCAATCTTTTCTTCTGTTGTTTCACTAATGCAAGCTATAAAAGGACTCTCATTTGGAACAATGTCATTTCTTTGGTAGCTTCCTGGACCTCTAAGCATCTCTTCTGAACCCTTAGACACCACTACCTTCATGATTATGGTCTTATGAGTACCAGATATCATTTCCTCATAATCAGTGTCCCCAGTTTCTCCAAGTATGACATACATGTTTGCAACATTCAATCTCCAACGGACAAAGAGATACCTAAATATAAGCAAATAATAAGCACTACTCAATTACTGAATATTATGAATAGATTAAAACATTAGTTACACCTACCTACCTTTAAAACCCTTTATTCTTTAGTCTTTACTATGAAGTATGAACTATTACCTGAGTGCTTGGGCTCTAGATGCAAGAAGTGGAATAACATGCATTCTAGAAGACCCCTTGCAGTACATAGGATGATAGCGTAGACCTCTCATCCTAAGCTTCTGTCTTAAGTCATCAACTTTCTTTGCCTGAAATAGACAATGAACAACATCATTTTTAATCAATTTTTATGTGCCTTAGCTTCTGCTGTTATGCAAATACAATAGTAAATTTCATTTACCTTACTAAGATCCTTTATTTTGTATGATATGCAATGGACATTGCTTGATTTTGGATCTTCCTCAATGGGGCTAGAACTTGTTTTGGAATTATCTTCACCCTCAGAAGTATTCATAAGTTTCCAAATGGTTTTCTTGAGACCTTCACAACCCCAACGATAGTCAATGTCTACCTCATAATCTGGATCAGGCAAAAGCTTTCCTTTTTCTGTATGAATACCAGGGTAGTAAACTTCACTCCCACTACTACAAATTAAAGCATCAAACTCATTTACTGGTATTTTGCATGATGCAAGGAACTCTATTGTTTCTAGCATTGGCATAGCAGTTGATAAAGCAAATCCAGAAACTCTTGCAGTTTGAGGGTCTAGTTGAACAACTTTAATTATCCTTTGAACTATCTGGATCATCTTCTTATCAGGAGCTCCATTGTTGTCATGTATATCAAGTGCTATAACAATCAACCTACGTCTTCTCCTCAATAGAGGGTATTTGTTGGTTACATTGTCAAGCAGCATATTCTCAACATTTGAACCAGAATCTGGCTTCCTTATCTTATTTCCACCATCCTGATTTTGACCAGAATCTGACTTCCTTATCTTGTTTAGGACCCTTTTCACTTGGTCTTGCATATCAAGGCCACCACTTGCTGCAGCCAAATCACCATCAATTGAGAGCCTAAGGGACATGTCCTGAACATCCTTGAGTGAATCATTGAAAGACTCTTCAACAGCTACATCATCCTCAGGAGTATTGGTTTGCCGATTGAATAATTCATGACTAATACTGCAATGAAAAAGTAAAGAACTAAATGTATGTTACCGATTTGAAGGCGATGCTGATGTTGTGCTACATATCCCTGGAGACTTGTGAATTGCACTGCCACTGCCTTCAGAAACAGAGGAACAGGAAACAGCAATAGATTGTTTATTCTCCATACAACACTCCTCTGATTTCACCTCAGCCATATCCTTCAAAACCATCACCAAAACCCAAAATCCTAATCAACAAACCATTGAATATATCTTAAAGACAAAAAAACAAAAAAAAAGAAAAGAAAAATTCTCCAGGACCCATCACAGAATAACCATCTAAAACCCTAAAAACCTAGCTCACGTTGCAAAATTTCCAAACTTTCGCAGGGAAACACAAATATAAACATAACCCAGATCTTAAAATCCACTATCAGATAAAAAATATACCGAACCCATCTTTGTCTCCACACCCGAATCGATTCAAATTCAATAGTAATTGATATTAAGCTACTTAAAAAAAAAGTACGACAGCAACAACAAAATCGCAACGGAGAAAAAAAAAATTAAAAACAAAGACGAAAAGATGCAACAAAATAAAAAACGACGAATGATACGAAATGTGGGAAAAAACAAAGACTAAGAACGACGAATGCCAAAAAAATGACGAACAGCAGCGGGGAAAAACGCTAAGAACACGAAGAACAGGAGAAAGAAGAAGATGTGAGCAATCTGGAGGAACCACTAAAAAAAATGAGAAGGCGTGTAGGTTTTGTTAAACGTTTAACATTCCAAGGGAGAAAGTAGGTGAAGATTAATTAAGTTGTCAGTTTTTAAATTTTGAAAATAAGATGAGTTGTGTGTTAATTTTTAAAATTTGAAAATAAGATGAGCTGTGTCCAATAAAGATGAGAACAGATCTGCACCATTGATTTTGGACAGCAAATCGTGGCCATCAATTTTGAGTCCAGATTATAATTTCTTTTTGAATTTTTTTATTCACTGAATTACCCAAAAAAGAAACTTTTTGAATTGTGGAGTGTGAAAGCAAACACGTGTCAGAAGGAGAAGCAGCCACGTGTCAAAAGTTGCCAAAGAATGGCTTTGTCTTAGAATATAAGATAACCCACACTAACACACTCATATACAAAATTCTATAAGTTATTTATATTCAACTAATAAAAATTATATTAACTTTTAAAAATATTTTTTTAAAAAAAAATTATATTAAAAATAAAATTTAAAAATAAAAATTATATTAACTTTTAAAAATAACAATTTTAATATTTAAAATTTAAAATTTATATAATTTTAACTATTTAAAGGCGGTTACACGTTATCTGGAGGCAGTTAATATAACCGCCTCAGATTGTCTTTTGGAGGCGGTTATTTCAGATTATCTTTTGGAGGCGGTAGTGGAGGCAGTTATAAAACCGCCTCAGATTATCATGTAGAGGCGGTTATTCCAGCGATTTTTTAAAACTGTCGTATTTTGCCTCGCGACGGTGGTAAACGAGGCGGTTTATGAACCGCCAAACCAAGCATTTAGAGGCGGTTTGAACCGCCTCAAAATGCCAATTTAACCGCCTCTAAAAACCAATTTTCTTGTAGTTATCCAAAATGATATAAACATCCCATATACTCTCCAAAATAATAATATGTCATATATATATATATATATATATATATATATATATATATATATATATATATAAATTAAAAGATAGTCTAAAATCTCATGTCATATAATATCCCTCTCTCAGCCTCCTTCCGTGTGATGCACCAACATCTTGAGTCTTTGCACCTGAAAGGTAATCGCCATGATGCGAGATGAGATAATCATCTCAGTAAACTAGGAGTCCTTGGAAGGTTCCTACACCCCTAAGTTCACTTCAAGCATAATCACAACATTAAAAAAAAATATAAGCCATTATCATATATATATATATATATATATATATATATATATATATATATATATATATATATATATATATTGAGCATGTGTGCAATAATAAATTCTATTGGCCAAAGAACAATGTATGCATTACGCATGGAAACATTATCTTGCAACTACCAAGTATGAGGAAACATTGTCTCATACTGAGCATAAGGAAACATCATCTTATGCCTCACACAAGGAAGCACCATCTTGTGTGGCACACAAACACACATACATATGAATACATTATATCATAACTCAATTTCCAAAAACATACCAGGTATATAAATTGTCCTCGTTCGGAGTCTGGTGGAACAAATAAGGGATTAACCCCAAGGATCGAAAGTTTACTTTTTGAAGCAATACCCTCCAATATACTTCTTGTATCAAGGGGTCACAACTAGGGGTGAAAGTAGGCTGGGCTGGGCCAAACTTTGCCCCGAAAAGCCCAAGCCTACATCAAAAATTTCAATTTGGCTTGACCCAAGCCTAGTATGAGTCTAACTGTTAGCCTGGTTTGGCCCGTTTATAAAAAAACAAATGACCTGGCTTGGCCTGTTAGCCTGTTAATTTTTAACTTTCAAGCAGAACCATGAATCAACTTTACAAAGTACTCAAATCATGTTGCTACACCAAAAATCATGATTTCAACGTCCGAACAGAATCATTAATCATAACAAAACTAATACAATATGCATTTAAGTCATTTTCAAAAGCAAAATGCTCAAACTAAACAACATATATTTAATCAGATCCAACAAACAAATCCATACTATGTAAATTAAAATAACTACATGAATCCAACAAACAAGCACATCATGATGTTTGTAGTAACTCACAACCATAAACTCTCTCAATATCACAACCTATTTCAAAGGTTTGAAGACAATCTGTACATATACTAATCTACCACATTCAATTTAACATTATCTTTTACCCGTTTATAACACTTAAGGCTTTTTCCAACAACCATAAGCAACATATAATTAAATGGAGACTTAAACCATAGTTAGGTGAATCTAATCGGCCTCATTAAGCCCTCTTTTCAGTACTAAAATGTTTCTACATAGGGAAATGTCATTTTTTCCGAAAATAACGCAATATCCAGATACGCATATTCGGATATCGATATCTAGATATCCGGATATTTTGCGTTAGTTTACAGAACAACAGCCAACATGAAATGGGTGTCAAATACAACTCTCTCAACAACCTAGCATGCTTTTCTACACATGGGTTCATACCTCAACTCATAAATCATGAAATCCCTAATTTCCATAACCTAACTCATGTCATTTTCATGAAATTCAACAAAGAGGGTCATGATAATTAACTTGAGAGCTTCAACAACCAAGAAAGAAGGGTTTCCTAGCTTTAACGCTCCCTCTTTCACACCAGTTCTTGACAAATCCAAAAATGGTCTCACAAGGTGGGTTTCTCTTTCTCTCAAGTGGGGAAAGATGAGTGGGTGAGATGGAGATGAAATTTGTGAGTGTTCTCTCTTGTTTCATGAGGATAAGATAGAGCTATATGGAGAAGAGGAAGAATAAGCCCTTCATCGGTTGTGGAGGAGAGCACTTTGACGAGAGAAAAGAGAGAATGAGTAGTGTGAGTGTGTTTTAGTCTATTTTAAGTGAGTTTTACTATTCTCATGGGTATAAACTTACTTATCCCACTTATGAACTCTCTTTCAAACTTGTCGTACTAGCTCATAATATTTTTGTGGTAATATTCTCTAATTTATTTTTAAGTTCCGGACAAGTTTGTTTACTCGTAATTTTACTCCAAAATTTTCACTATTCACACTTTTTTCCAAAAATGATTTTATTCATTTTAATTTGATCTCTCATCTAATTAGTCCTTATTAATCCTGATTAATTCATTTTTGTATATATTGGTGACCGGTGAATCTACAAAAGTTTATACAGTTAGAAAAAGCTGATAACATCAATAAGGTGCCATAATTCAATTTGGTGACGACAAGCCATACGTAAAATGCTCTAACTCTTCTTCTCTGTCATTCTAACTCCATTACTGCTCATATCACAAACTGGAGAGCTAAGTTTGAACTGCAACTATACTTGTGGCAATCCATTTTGGACATGTACAATTTGCAACCAACTTCAACTTGTGTTGAATCTTCTTGTTTTCGCTTAAAGTAAATAAATCTTATGCAATTGCTGACATCCATGATAGAATAGAAGATGCGTCCTCATGAAATTTTCTTTAATCAACCATTGAACCTACACACAGTTTATTTATCTATCTACTTTCCGAGAATGCTTAACGATTAAATTATGTTCTACAGAGAATGCTGAACAATTGTGAACTCCATAACTGGGAGAACAATCAGAGCAGCATAACTATGGTCAAAATCAGAAAATACGAGAGTCAGATTAAACTGGCAGCTTCGTAACTTTAACCGTAATTCTGACCTGAGTTCAGCCAAGAGTTGAAAAAAACAACAACAAAATTATGTACTCTCATCACCTAAAAGGACTGCATTATTTCAATGAAAATGACACATGACATTTAAAAAATTTATTCTTACTTAGTATTTTCTTCATTTTGAAAAAATATAATTTTGTGTCCTTTTTAATTAAATAAGCATATTTCATTATAAATTTGATAATTTTTTATATTATCTGCTTCAGAAGATTAAGAGACGAGAGAAAGAAAAAAATATTGCACAAGATATAAAGTAAAAAAATCACCAAATATAGTTATTTCACTTAAAATAACATAAAATACGATTTATTTTTACTTTTTAATATTAAAATTTCACTTTTTTATTTTTAATTTTTTTTAAGGAAAACTTCAAAAAAAACCCCTACAAATTTCCTCAAAATCACTTAACCCCCTCCCCAAAATTTTTAATCATTTATCCCCCTACTTAAATTTTTTTTATCACTTACCCCCCTAATTTGATTTTTCATCCAGAATTTTGTTAACAGAGTTAATTTTTTTAAAAAAATACCAAAATTAACCTTAATAGAAAAAAGAAAAACATAATTTCTTCACCAATGCAATTTTAGACGAACTCACGGAATGTTTTCTTTAAGGTAGCCTTGTTAGAATTAGTAATTAATTAAAATTATTTCCTACAAATTCCATTGCTATTAAACACCGCACTCATAATTGTTGGTGTCGGTATTCAAATAAAATGATTAAAAATTTCGAGAAGGGGGTTAAGTGATTTTGAAAAAACTTATAGGAGTTTTTTTTGAAGTTTTTCCTTAAAACTATTACTTTTAAGCAGTGGCAAGTTTTTTTC